TTTGTATTGCACAACCTGTAAGTTACAAATGTTGCGTTAATCAGACTGCTACCGGCAAATTTCTGGGTGGTAAAGAAAGCGAAAGTAGATCGAGCTTCGGTACCACGCATACACTTATATAAACGCTTGCCGCCAAAGCGCCCTGTTCATACCTAAAATTATCTTTTGTTTTCGAAAGAGTTAGCACTTGCAACACAATATGAATAAGTTCATATAAGTGCCGAAGATTAGAGGTGTTAGTGTTACAAGAGAAACAAACACATAAAGAAGGAAGAGAAAGATTTATATAAGGATGATAGATGTTGAATAGGAGAGAGCAGACCACACCAGAGCATCCACCAACCACCCATTAATACTATCTTTACACACACCACACTTACAATCACACACAAAAATACATAAACTCAGAGAGAGAGAGAGAGAGAGAGAGAGAGAGAGAGAGAGAGAGAGAGAGAGAGAGAGAGAGAGAGAGAGAGAGAGGGGGGGGGGGGGAAGACACACACACACATCATGATACACATGTGAATAGCCTCTAAATATATTTAATACTTAGCATGTTACACACACACAAATGACACAACATACACATTGCATAAAATGATATGAGGATAGCTTTATCGGTTGAGTTTGTCAGAAGTAGACTTGACTATGACTTTGTATGTAGTTACATTATAAACAAAAATCTCCATAGCCTAACAACGATATTCTCTCTGTCTCTATACACACACACAAATCACACAACATACACATTGGATAAAACAATATATGAAAGCTAAAAGAGCAAATAAAAAATGAATGACCCAGGACATTAAAACTAGAGAAGACAGTCAAAATCAAACATGGAAAAGTACATCTTTAACTATGGTCAACACCCAAAGAGGCTATATAGTATTTGGTCTAATGCTTGCTTTTCTGCACCAAAGGGTGTGACAGCACAGCATTTTGAAAAACAATTTAATCTTATTTAAATCACATGGGTCTCAACTCAGAATTCTAAAAAAGGAGGAACTTTCCAGGTGATCGCCACAGAAGCCCATTTTCGCGAAACACCCATTATTATTATACTGTTGAACCCTAAAATGCTGAAATGAAAACCATCAATTTATCGAAGCAAGGTTATTTCACACCAATTTGAGGGTTTGGGAGATAATTTCAAGTAAGAGTCACCACCAAATTTACAATCTTGATTATGTACAGAAAGTGGTGGCGCCTGGGGTCTTGTGCGACTTATTAATATTTTCCCTTCATCATATTCGCCTGTATACCATTATATATAAACTATATAAAGATGAATCTTGCTTTGAGCCTAGAACCAGAATATCGACTGTCATGATTCATATATAGGCCTATATAATAAATGTGAAAGACAACATAATTGCTTCCAGTTTCAGATTTTTTGTCCTCTGGTGTTGCGTCCAGCCCTCCCCCTATCCCCGAGTGCATCTTTTTAAAAAAATCAATAATCTCCCCCCCCCCCCCCCCCACATTCCTGAGTCCTGTACTCCGCAGCGCTCAGAACGCGCGCAGGTTCATTGACCGGCCACAATGGCGAGCCCGACAAGACGCTTGTATAACTTTCTTTTCATGTTGTCCCTATAAGTGACGACACAGTGACAAATTTTGATTTATTTTCATGGCGACACCACATTTGTAATGCTGATCCTGCATGTTACAATAATTGTTGCGTTATCAGACAATTACTGACAAATTTCTTGGTGGTAACGAAAGCAATTTAAGTAAAGGTTTACTGGACGCTCTGTTATGAAATTTAGTGATTATCATGCTGGACTACAGAGCGGTTGACCCTAGTGCACCCTCTTCGAAAAAGCACGAACTTTGCGAATAGCGTTACCCTACTTGTTTGAAAAACAATAAAAGTGATACTCTTTTTGGCAGAGTGAACTATTTCTTGAACCTTCCGGTTACCATGTACGTAGGCCCTGAGACTACGTGCCCGGTTACCGTGTACACAGACCCTGAGACTACGTGCCCGGTTACCGTGTACGTAGACACTCCGTTAAAAAAAAAAATAGGCCTACTGAATTGTAAATATAAATCTTACTGTGCAGTAACTAACTAAAGTATTTGTATTTGAGACGAAACCAGGTGCCTTAATGACAGTGCATGTATTTAAATCTCCTGTATTCTAATGTTAATAGGGCCTAAGATAAGTAATGCTAGACTGGCAGTCTAGCAGTACTTAAGTTTAAGTACGGCTAAAGTCTAGCCGTACTTAAGTATGGGTAGACAGCCAGGCTAGCCGTACTTAATATTGATGGCTGAATTGTAAATGAAAATTTTAGTTTGCAATGCCTAAAGTATTTGTATTTCAGACAAAACCAAAAGGTGCCTCACTGACTTGCATGTATTTGAACCTGAGAATAATTACTAGATCTAGATCTAATGAGACCTGTGTACTTAAAAGGCTTGAGTCGATAGGGCCAAACCTAGATCTAAGTCTTGTACGGCTAGCCACTTCGTTTTACTTTTTGCTGGGTGACTAAATGCAAAATAGGTTACTGCCAAGGTCGAGCAGTCTTGTTTTCTCGCAGTACCTTTTGGAGGTGTATTTTCAAATGGAGTATGTCCGGGAACATTGCCCCAACCACGACTGAAGTATCTGAATATTCAGACATTTAAAAATCTCTAGATTTCTAGCTCTAGAAATTGAATTTCATGCAAAAAATGCCCCCGTTTTAACCCATAATGTGATATTTTACAGTTAGATTTGAAATTTTCTTGAAAATAATTGATTTGCGATGGCTTTACTTTATTGGGAGGACTTCCGTAACGAGCCACCACTACAAGACAAGACAGAGCAGAATTGAGGGCTAGGGGTAGGGCCGCAGTAGGGGTAGATCTAGGGGTTGGGGTAGGGTTAGGAGTTAGGGTTAGGCCTCTTCTTTATTGTGTTTGATGGGGTGGTCGCTCGTTCCGGAAGTCCTTCCGCTTTATTTGTGATCTGCAGCAAACAGTTTGAAACAGTGCCTCAGTACTGCAGTTTGACCCCTGAAGTCCTGAAGCAGTGCACCTGTGTGCGGGAGTGAAAGTAAAAATTTACCAAAGTGTTTGGAGACAAGGTGATTTGGACCGGTGATGGGAAGATTGAAGAATGAAAGTGGCTATTCTCACCCGCCCGGAAGTTCTCGCAAGATCTACTCCTCCCCTCTTCTCTCTCTCTCTGTCTCTTTCTGAATACTGTCTATCGGTGTGGACGATCAAATTGACCAAAACAAAGTTAAAAAATGATGTTAAAACACAAAAGTAAATTAATTTGGTTGTCTACAAAGATGCTACGGCTATTTAACTTTTCGAATCGAGCCGAACTACGCGGGTCGCCATTTTGTTTTGTTCTCTCTCTCTCCACTGCCCACAGACAAAATTGTACGCTTTTAGTAGGCTACAAGTACAGTTGTAATGGAACGTTTGTTCACAGCACAGAATTCTACAATTTTTCTCTTATCACAGTGTAGAATTCTGTGGTTTAGGGTGAACGCAAAATTTGTTGACACGCGCACCGGGTGAGAATAGCCACAAGACCCGCCTGCACTATTCTCACCCGGGGTGAGAATAGAGGTGGCCTTGAAGAATACCGGACCACTCGTACATTATTGAGCGAGAAAGTGGGGTAGGTGGGGCGGGTGGTTGGGATGGAGGAGGGGGGGGGGGTGTCAGGAATGAATAGACTATTCGGCGCTTTTTCGGTAGTTCCCACCCCGCATTTGTTATTCGCCGGTATTGGCCCCAAGAGTAGGGGGGTTTCAATTTTACCACAATTTAATGTTTTGCAGTTGTTAGGTTTGATATCTTAGCTTGCCGCGAATCAAACGTATATAGATCTAGATGTAGGTCAGGCTCAATCAAATAAGGGGGGTGGGAACTACCGAAAAAGCGCCGACTATCAATAGATCTACCGGTCCGAGATTCTCCATTGACAGATATTAAAAACGGGAAAATTATGAATTCGTAAAGTTCAGACATAGGCAAAGTCAGTCCGCTGGTCCGGTATTCTTCAATCTTACCCCGGTGATTTCATCAAGAGTCGAACATATAAAACTGACCCATTCTCCCATACTTACATGTCTGGCCAAAGACAGATGAGAACTTGAGAGAAGAGTCAAGACTAGTCAAGAGACAGCTAAACGGAAGTAAACAATAACACGTGTGGAAAACCTAGCCAGATTTCAAACCTGTTTATTGACTTGTAAGGTGAAAGGTAAATTTGATCAGAAAAAATACTCTTTTGTCATTAAATTTAACAATATATTTAATAACACTAATTTGCAGTATTATTCATTGTATAATTTCTCAGCATCTCAACAACTTGAAGCTTAAAAACAAGCACAATAATAAATAGTTAATAGGCCTAGGCCTAGATGGCCTAGAATCCTAGAATAATTGGATGAGCTAACCGGCAAACAAATTTGTTGAAACCGGAAGAATGAATGCATACTAAACAAGAACTAAACTGTTTCCGAATATGTGGACTTTTTAACTATACATGCTAACCACATTACGATTTCGTGCAGCCTTATTCAGTGTCAAGTCCTCGCTTCACTATGAGATCCATTTTGAGTAGTTCTTACTTTGTACGGAAGTCCAGTAGCACAGTTTGAAGATTTAGCCTGTATTCTCATCGACTCATCCATCGGCCATCGATTGACGACTGAACCAACGCCGAACAAACCGATATTGGTCTCAGCAGCATCTGGCGTAGGCTAATAAAGTCATATTTTTCCCATTTGTTTTGTTCTTTTGCAAAGCCGTCAGGTTGGCCGACGAGAATAAGAGTCATGTCTAAAAGACGGCATAAGTGGGCAATTGAATTTGTCTCTTCTGGAAGGTAAGACAGAAAATCTTGCAGTTGAACTTGAAGTTGAATGTCTTTGTGTGTAAGTGTAACGAAAGTACAGACCAGGAGTCAGGAGGACTGTCCCCGACTTCTGCCCCTGCTGACATCACAACCACATTGAAGAACCGATAGATCTAGATCTAGAATCTAGATCTTGATCTATCTAGATTAGATCTAGATATAGAGCCTATGTACGGCATACCGTCACCTTAGTGTTTTGAGATGACTATTTCCGGAAGTGAACTTTTGTATTTCCATAACTTCGGCTCTTTCAAAAACATCGACCCCAAATTTCGTTTTGTTGAGAGGCCAGCCTTTCCTGTAGGTGTGGGGTGAAGTTTTTAGTCAGATAGTGTATAAAGAAGACCCCTAACCGAGACTTGACGCATGTCATGACATGTACCCCATACCGTCATGTGTCGGGTTTTCTGTCATGGTATGTACCCCATACCGTCACCCACTACACCCCATACCATCACCCCCAAATTGAAGCACAACTAGGCGTTTGAAAAGAGGAAAGAAGCAAAGACGAACTCCTTTTGTACAGTGGGCCTAAGACAGAACTAATTATGTTTATATTGACATACTAAAAAGAACAACCACCAGAACAGACTCACATACATCTTACTCACACATAGATTTAGATCTAGGTACATGAATGTTTCATTTTACTCTTCCACACATATATCACAAACTCATATGAACATGATCTTCCTCACACACAAGTACATGAATGCTTCATTTTACGCTTCCCCACATATATCACAACAAACTCACTTGAACCAGATCTGTTTAAAATCGCTCTTGTAAAACTTTTGCTAAAGAAGCAAAACTTACATCAGAATGTCTTAAAGAACTATAGACCTGTTTCAAATCTACCTTTTTTGTCTAAAATCCTTGAAAAGGTTGTCCTCGAGCAGCTTCGTCATCATTACAAGAAAACAATCTGTTAGAGCCATTCCAGTCTGCCTATCGAGCTAACCACAGCACAGAAACAGCACTTCTTGAAGTCATGAATCGACATGCTTACTGATTGTGATTCAGGAAAAGTTGTTTTGCTGAGCCTTTTAGATCTATCAGCAGCTTTTGATACAATTGACCATCACATTTTATTGAAGCGATTGGAAGTGTCTTTTGGATAATCCGGGACTGCCCTTAGCTGGTTTTCTTCTTACCTGTCAAATCGTTACCAATCTGTTTTTATTAAAGGGCTTAAGTCATCAGATCATGCTCTTAAGTATGGGGTCCCCCAGGGCTCAGTCCTCGGTCCAGTTTTGTTCACCATTTATACTCAACCACTTGTGAAGGAAATAGTTAAATATGACTTAAAATACCATTTCTATGCTGATGATACCCAAAGTTATGGTTCAACATTGTTTACCAACTTAGATGAACTTGTCCATCGTGCTGAAAATTGTATTGCCTTAGTGAATAACTGGATGAACAAAAATAAATTGATGTTAAATGATAATAAAACAGAAGTCATTCTGGCAGGCAATGCAAAGTCTGTTAAAGAGGTTGACCATGATCACATTAAAATTGGTAATGCAAAAATTTTATTTTCAAGAAAAGTTAAGAATCTTGGCATCTATTTTGATTCTAGTTTGTCAATGTCGGCTGAGGTAAATCATCTGATCAGCTGCATGTATTTAGAAATAAGAAAAATTAGTAAAATACGTCATCTGATCAATACCAAGTATACTGCTTTACTAGTAACTAGCTTAATTTTATCTAAACTCGGTATATAAATTGTAACTCCTTGTTATCAGATATCACTGGAGAAAGTTAAAAGACTTCAAACTGTCCAAAACAATGCAGCACGTTTAGTTTTATGGAAAAGAAAGCGAGACTCTGCTAAACCTCTTTTACGAACATTGCATTGGCTTCCTGTTGAGAAAAGGATTGTGTACAAGTTGGCCACCATATGTCACAAATGTTTGAATGATAATGCACCATCATATTTATCAAATCTGTTAAGACTGTACATTCCAACTCACAGTTTAAGGTCATTTTCAGCTGACAAAAAGAAATTTATTTTACCTTCTGTGAAACTTAAAACAATGGGTGAAAAGGCATTTGAATACCAAGGCCCCAAGATCTGGAATGCTTTACCAAGTACGTTGAGAGAAATCAAATCTTTTGATTCATTCAAATGTCAGCTGACGTCGTTTCTGTTTTTAAATTAATAAGATGAATATTTGGAATAATTTTCTTTAGTCAGAACACAACGTTTCATGTTACTGTTGTATGTTGTACTGTATTGTAAAGCGCTCAGAGCCTGTGTACTTTATTAGGGGTTGAGCGCTATATAAATATCATTTATTATTATTATTATTATTAACATCTTTTACTCACACACAAGTACTTGAATGCTTCATTTTACTCTTCCACATGTAGGCCTATCACAACAAACTCACATGAACATCTTACTCGCATACATAGGCCTACATGAATTTCCCTGTTGTTTCTTCTTCTTCTTCCCTGCTCTCTGCTTCTCCAACTTCCTTAACTTTTCTCCTCTTTTCTCTTCTTCCTTCTCCCCCCTTTTCTCTTCCTCTTTTCCACTTCTTCCTTTTTCTTTTCTTCTTCCAATTTCTTCGCCTCCTCCCATGCTTTGTACTTTGCCCGTAAGACATGTATGTAGGGGCCTTAGCCCGCTTCTCTGTGTTGAAACCTTAGATAGTTCCAGCTTGCTGGTATGGGCAGGTTGACGAACGAGGGGGAAGGAATGAGTTGATTTTACAAATCAAGGTATTTTCTGTATGCCCCCTCGTTCTCCTTAGGTTCGATTTTGTGCCAATGGCAACGGCGGACCCAATGCATGTCTGATGCCATCCATCCAGTGGCAATGGCGTGATCAATTAGACTGTCAAGGACAAAGCAAAAGTGTTGTCCTGAGGCAGTTTTTGGGGGGCTTGGGGTGTCACCAGAGTTTCATCTTCCAATGGTCTCAATGCCTGCTCAGGTAGACAATAGACATAGTCCTGGTTAATCACAGGATCCCAAGCTGGTGTTGAAACCAAAGGTAGCTGAAACTCTGCTGCAGGATCCAGGAAGTCCTCGGAGGTACATTCGATCCCCGAGAATTCCAGACCTGTGGTCGAAAAGTCTAAGGCATCAACTGACCACTCACAACTAGAGACAAGGGCAGTTGGGGGAGGGCCAGCAAGTTTTTCTTCTGAAACTGAAGCAGTAGGAGCAGGAACAATATCACAACATGTGGAAACAGTGGCTGGAAGAACATCATCACAACATGTGTATACATTGGACAGAGGAACATCATCATTACATTCAACGGGATAGAGTTTCCTTCATATAAATTTGTTTCAAACATTAAAAAAGAAAAATCTAAAGTCGCTCATTTTCTAATGAATCCGTGTCTAAATAGATCTATCTAGATCTAGATCTATATAAAATCATAGAAACTAAAAAATCTAAAGTACTAAGATGCCATCCATAGTCCGTCAAGAAATAGGGTGACCTTATTTAGGCTTAAATAAGCTAAACCCCCCCTCCCTTACCTTATTTAGGCCACCTGTGGCCTAAATAAGCTAAACCCCCCCTCCCTTACCTTATTTAGGCCATATGTGGCCTAAATAAGCACTCCCCAAGAAATAACTATTTTTCAAGTCACGCTGCATGTAAAAAATACGGTGACTGTATGGGGTACATCCATCAAAAAATTGTACCCCATATCGTCACCCCCCCTATGGGCGCCAATTGTTACAACAAAGAGCAGCGAATGGTTTGTGGTGGTAACTAGACACCTTATATACTGAATAAAAATGCGAAACGAATCCTGCGGGTACGATTGTAGAACCAATAGCTTATTTCTCAAGATGTATTGCACATCTGCAAGCCGTAATGGCTGAACGCGGTTCTTACATTTGGAGATGAAATGGATTATTTCTGCTCACACAGGTGTCTGATTCTGCTCAAAATTGTTGAACTTGAAAACAAAACAATGTTGAACGGAATTGTTTAGCAGACAGCATTCCAGATTATCGCATAATTGTCTGGTTGTCCAATTTTAGGCCAAATGCGTGCCAACTGACAGTATGACGTACGTGACGGTATGCCGTACATAGGCTATATATCTAGTCTAGAAATTAGATTATATCTAGACTCTATCTAGATCTAGATCTAGATCTAGATCTAGATTTCTAGAACAACTGTCACTCGTCCAAGTGTTTGGAGTTTGATATGAACGCGCAGTTAGTCGGGCCTGTCAATAAAACTAAAAACTGTTTCAATTGGGAAGTGACTATTCTCACCCAGGGTGAGAATACAAATATGATCGACTTCTCACCCCGGGTGGGACTTGCCACCGTAGGCTATTCTCACCCAGTGTGAAACAAGACCTGTTTTTCCTAATTTCGGAATACTTTCTATCGATGTGGATGATCAAATGGATAAAGGCAAAGAAAAGATTACGTTATAGCACAAAAGTAAGCTAATTTTATCGACTTCAAAGATGCTACATGGCTATTTCACTTTTTGAATCAAGCCGAACTACGGGGGTCGCCGTTTTGTTTTGTCCGGAAGTTCTCGCAAGATCTACTCCTCCCCTCTTCTCTCTCTCTGTCTCTTTCGGAATATTGTCTATCGGTGTGGACGATCAAATTGACCAAACCAAAGTTAAAAAATGATGTTAAAACACAAAAGTAAATTAATTTGGTCGTCTACAAAGATGCTACTGCTATTTAACTTTTCGAATCGAGCCGAACTACGCGGGTCGCCATTTTGTTTTGCCCGGAAGTTCTCGCGCTACTCCTCTCTCTCCCTTTCTCTTCTCTCCACTGCCCACAGACAAAATTGTTTGCTCTTAGTAGGCTAACAGTAGTAATGGAACGTTTGTTCACGGCACAAAATTCTACAATTTTTCTGTTATCACAGTGTAGAATTCTGTGGTTTAGGGTGAACACAAAATTGGTTGGCCTAGATCTAGATCTAGGCTATAACGGTGAACGCACACCTCCATGGCAAAAAACGTTTTTATTGCTGTCTATAAGGTTTTGTATTATTATGATGTTTGATAGGTGGAGGCAATATATCTTAAAAGTCGTTCTTTTAAGATTTTTAGGATGGCTAATGATCGGGGGAGAGCATTTTTATTCTCTTCCTGTCTCATGGCAGCTACAGCATCTAGAATCTGTTTTAATTTTAAGCAAGTAGCGTATAAATTATGCACAATTTTCCATTAAATTGCTTCTCAATTGTTTGCAGGGGGCGGAGTGATCGTGCTGTTGTTGCGTCATCTGAAAGCCTTCCAAACCCCGTGGGATTTGTGGATGCATCTACAGCAGCTGAAAGAGTCAGAGAAGCAGACCCAACTTTGATAATAAAAGTAAGAACATGGTAAAGCAAGAAATGCCTTTGTCCATCTGCAATGAGTGTTTTTATTATTATTATATAACTTATTGTGTTCTTCTAGAGACTTGAGATTCAGTAGGGGGGCCATTTCCTGTACTAATCTTTTGTTTGTACTCTCTCGTTTTTCCTTTATTGGTAGATTTTAGATTCTTCGTGACTATAAAACAATTTTATTTTCGCAGTCATGGACAAAGACTGCGAAAATATGCGAAAATTCCCTCACCACGAAAATCGACAGTATTTTCACTGCATCACTAATGAACAGAATTAAATCATTTGAGTCAAGCTTTGTGCCTGCTGTCTGCTAACTACAGTTTTGGGGGTCATGGGTTCTTGTACACTGTGATTAACATCTCTGCCAATTTGCTTGATGTGTAAGAATATAGCTGAAATTCTTTTTACAATATTTTGGATTCGTAGTAATATTAAAACATTGACAGGATCACTTCCTTTAGGTGCATATTTTTTTCTCCTCCATCAACAAACAGCTAGTGTTGGTTATGGTGAAATTAAATTTGTGGCCTGATTCTCTCTCACATAAATTTGAACTGTGAAAATATTATTAATATTGGGACAAAAAAATGTAATATTACCCAGTTTGACCTGGCTTTACTAATAATTTCTACTTTTATTGTTTTTGTTCCTCCAATAAGACAAGATTCTATGGACGGCTGGCATTTGCTCTGGTATGGTTTGCTCCTTCTTTCCTGTCAAACATCTATCTTCCTAATAATTTTTCCTCGTTTATTTGTTTGGGGGGGGGGTTGTTACTCTCTTGTAACACCTCTATTCTGCTTGTATGACCCTATTGTGTTGCAAGTGCTGTAAATACTCACTAAAACGAAAATATTTTAAATGGGATTCCCATTTGATTAAATGTGAATACATGTTTGTCAACAGAGATCATGGGACATTGCGTTGGGCCCTATCAAACAAGTGCCAATGAATATGTTCATCATGTGGATGGCTGGAAGCTCTATATCTATCTTTCCCATCATGATGGTGGGTATGATGTTCTTCAGACCCATCCAGGCCATGCTCTCAATTCAAAATAGTAAGTGATTTGTTTTGAATCATTTTCTTTTTGAGGACACCAAGGACTTCATAGTAGCTGACTTGGAAGGCAATTTCATTCTAATTACCATCTTATCACCCAAGAAAGTACAGCACCTCAAATGCTTGTTATGGATACTGCTATCTCTCTTTTTTATTTTTTTAGTGACGAAAAGTTAAGAGACAACTTTGAACTACTTTACCCTGAAAACGTAACGGCCCTGTATATAGGTATTAAATAGGGTGTGAGTTAGCATCCTGGGAAGCGCAACTAGACCTGTATGTTTGCCGACAATCGCGACCTGACCCCCGAGCCGGCCGATGCTATCGCTAGGCCCACCTGTATCAGTCAATGTGCGTAGTGCGAAGCCTGGCCGACTGCCACCGCCCCCTTTTTCCCCCATGGCTTTGTCGGCATTTTCATTTTCGTGCTGACTGCCGACTTCGGCGTTTCCGACATAATTGTCGGAACCTGAGTAGAAATGCGAATACGAAAAAGGACGACAACTTAAATTATCTACTTTCAGTTTCGTGCTCAAGCGGCCATTTTGAATTTCGTTTGTTGACTAATTATTAATGCAATTGTTCAGATCGTGTGGATTCATTCAAGTCCGACTCACTTGTTCTAATAGAATCTAGATCTAGATTTATAGATCATTATAGAACTCAATGGAGGATTCATATTCCAATTCTATTGTGTCAAACCCTATCATAGGTTGTGCTGTAATATTAATGTTGGTAAAAAGCATTTCATCAGGTGCAGAATCTAGATCTAGACTCAGCTTAGTCCCGGAATCGGATGCGAATTATATGAGGCCCGTTGCAGGTTCTTTTTGGGGGTAGGCCTAGGGGTGGGGTTAAGCAGACCTGCCACTCATCTCGATTTAGTCGGGATATCCCGATTTTTGCCCCAAATCTCAAGCATCTCTTCTTTATTGTGTTTGTTGGGGTGGTCGCTCGTTACTCGGAAGTCCTTCCTTATGACACACACAAAAGCTCTTATGGGGGGAGGGTTGCGCAAAATTTTCAGACAATCTGGTTGAGGCTCACATGCAGGTCTAGCACAACGGCCCTTTTATAGGTATGACCTAATTGAACCTGGACCAAGACCTTCTGTAATGGAAATTTTCAGTGTTCTTTATGTTGTAAAAATGACGAAGTAAATTGCAGGTCAAAGTTATGAATACTGTGGGCCCAGATATCAATCGATAAAGTGACGCAGTCCAGTTGAACAACTAAACGCTATGTGTTATCACTTGTTCCACTGTGCTATTTTGCTAATTGTTGACTTCGTCGCCTTTTGCACTTTGTCGCCTGTTACACTTTGTAATTATTTGATCACTTATCATTTTTAATTACTCATTCTATCAGCTTTGAGGGAAGATATGGCTTTATCATCTGTTCAGGCGTAAATGGATATTTTTAGTAACAGGCATAAATCTTATTCTTAGCTGATACCCCCCGCGGAACCCCCATGTTTGTAAATGGTTGGCCGTGTTGGGGAGGTGCATTTAGGTGGGGGGTTTTCAATAAGAAAATGCGCACTTCCAGGGTTGACATTAAAGGTTGAAAAGCACTGTTCTAGGCTCAGATATGGTAGGCTACTTGGTTTCGTTGCAGAATTTTGCAAGCACTCTGCTTAAATATTTTTATTTTGTTAACTCAATTCAGCGTAAGGCCTTGTTCTGAAAATTTCTCCCCTCCCCATAAGAGAAGGGGTTAACTATGTATCGTATTTAACATTTTTTTAAAATTGTCCACTAAGGAACTACATACTATTAAAATATCACGCAAACTCCAAAGAGTAGATTAAAGCTTTTAAGTATTCTTTCAAGTTAATAGCAGTCAATGTTTTTATTATTAGGCCTGTCCCTACTTTCTGGTTGGGCAAGGATGGTCCACACATCAGTATTAGCTCTATCTTTGTCCTTTCCATCTGGCTCAACTAGATCTAGATCTAAAGCCTCTTAAACATCCAGTATCTTCTACTGACTATTGTACCATTGCCTAGTACTATTGTAAAAGCTGAAAAGCCCAGTATCCACAAGATAATGTTTGAAAACATGGCTACAAAGCTTTCATACCTTTAATTGCAGTCAATCTTATATTGTTCTTTCCCATTCATTCTTCACCACTTCAGCATTCAAAAGTATTGAAGGAGACCAGGCCCCGTTCCAGAAGTTGGTGTACTGCATAGGCAACATGCTGTGCTTGGCCATGGCAGTGTACAAGTGTCAGACCATGGGACTCCTGCCCACACATGCTTCAGACTGGCTTGCATTTGTCCAGCCACAACAGGTCAGTGTTTTTTGTGATAAAATAAAACTTTTTGTGAATTATCTGTGCTGAGTATTTGCCAGTCAGAGCGATACATTGTATGTCTTCTTGCCAAAGTCAGGTTCAAGGGATAGAGTGAAAGGGTGTTTTAGGCAGGATCAGGGTAATAGAGGATTTATTCTTTAGATCAGAGACCTCATCTTGTTGTAATTTTATTAATACGGCAGAGTTAAGCACTTTTCTTTTTTGTTGCTGTGTAGTGCTGAAACTAGTAAAAGTCGTACCTGCCTTACCTGCCAAGAATATCATGTACTCAAAACCAAAATAGTTTTTGAAATGCAACTTGAAATAAATTGTTCCAGCCTGTAGATTTTTATGTTCGAAACATTTTGTTACCGAAATTTATCAAAATTGAATGATAAGTAAAAATTCTGTGCCATCAAGAAAATGTAAAAATCATGTACGTGAACTAGTGCCAATTTTGAAGCATCTTTGTAAACAAAGTGGCAAACATGACATGTGTCACGATGCAGTGGAATCAGGTGCGCTGTCTGTTGTTGGCCATGTGAAGTTAATGGTATCTTCTGATAGCTGATTTATTTACCTTGGTTCCAATGAAATAGATATCCACTTGTCTTGAATAGAGCTCAAGATATTTACTGTTGAAAGAAGTAAGGTCATCTTGTTTCAGTGGTGAAATTAACTAGAAAATGGCTGCCAGAGTTAGGTAACTCCAATACCTAAAATGTCTTTGAAAACTGAAAAATGACAAATTTTGTGCCTTTAATCGATGTTTTCAGTAAAATTCAAATGGAAATATATTTTTACATATAGACATAAAAGATGTTTAGCCAAAAAATTAAACTTCTGTAAAAATTTCCAAACTGGCTGAAAAATATGTTTCTCGTATTAAGTTATTTTGTTGACGAGCGCCTGATTCCACCATACTGTGCATAAAATGCATCTAACTTTTGTCTCCACTAGTTAACTTCAGCCTTTCATGCTTTTAAGTTACAAATCTTTTTTAAAAAAGTAGGCTCGGGTGTGCATTTTGCAGTTTTTCAAATATGGGTCCTTTCAGCACAACCCGGGCAGCTCGCGTAGGCAAAATGCCGGCACATGACAGCTTTCTCTGTGAGCCCTCTAAATAATACTAACAGTGATATAAGGTTGCAAACACTACACTGCTTAAGTACGCTGGATTTACCCTATTTTTGTTAGTTTGTTAATCCAATATTTTGACTTATTTATTTCAGAGAATGGAGTGGTCTGGCGGTGGCATGATCTTGTAAAGAGGCAAACATTTTTTGCAAGATGAGTTTTGTCAAGTTTAAGTAACTTTTTTCATGGGTCTGTTGACGTTCTCTGAAGTGTTTTATCATATTTAATGATAATTTTAGGTGTAAGTACTTTTATATTTCGATGCACTGAACAGAGACTTCAGCACAATTAGGTTTATCTTTTGTTTTAGACCGGCATAGGGATGGGAGGTTGATTTGTGCACAATTAATGTCCATATAGGGCCTACATGTAGTTTAGGGCAAATATACATTATGAATGAAGTGAACTTTGCTCAAGTGAAGTATGTTTAAACGACTGTGCCATAGTAAAAGTTTTACTATGTGAACTTAAATTGCCCAACCCCACTTTAATTTCTCGTTTTCTTTTTTTTATATTTCATCATATTGATTGAGAAAGGGGAAAAGAGTATGCATTGTGCTACAACTTTTTAGCTACATTGATTGGTACTATGGTTGAACATACAGATTACTTTTATGCTTTATCTTCTATCTGTAATTATTCAGACTTCTTGACACTGAGTCAAGTGTATGTTTGTATTTGTCAATGTTAATTTTTACCCAAGTACATGTTTCTTGTCAACATTTTTCTTGAAATGAGTTGATGTTCTAGAATCTTTCGCATTTTCTCTTTTTATTACCATCTGTCTTATGTGTCACTTTTATTATCAAATTAAAGATATTAAACTGAAACTGCATCCAAGTGTTGTTTTTCATTGCATGTGATTACAATACTTTACCCTGATGACTTTAAGACACAGTAGCCTTCAGTCGTGCACAGATATCACAAACACTGAAAACTCAAAATCACGAATCACTTGTAAACTCAAAATCACGAATCACTTGTACAATTTGCTATTCGTTGACTGTATCTCTCTGTATAATTTTTTATTATAGGTGAACTCGAATTACGGATGTTTTGAACATATTTCTCAATCCTCTGCGTGTTTGAGTTGTTCATGCTTGACTGTAGGCCTGCTTTGCGGGATTGTTTTTCCCCATGTGTTCAAAGAACTGATGTGACTTGCAGTTAGTGGTTCCTAAACCTAGGGTGACCATTGTCATGCTTTTGGGGTTCACAGGATATGTGAATAAATGGGTTGGATGAGACTTTTTGAAAAGACACTGAAGTTATATTTCCACCCTGAGGGCTACTAGGTCAGGCCAAAAAGTTATGTATCATGAACTTGGATATTGTCCTGACCAGGGAAGTTTGGGAAAGAGAACTTTGAGTGATCATTTTTTTCAAGAGGAGAATGGTAATGAATTATTCTTTCTTTTGTGTCATGTTCATCATTTTAAAAAAAATCAATTTCTGAAAATACAGTTTCATATGTTTGGCAATTCAAATTCCGTATGTGAGCTTGGGACTGAGAGTGGCTTCATGTATGGTTTTTGTAGATTAATGTAAATGCTGGGATCATGTTAACTTCATGTAGTTATCCTTTAAGTTGATAACCTTGTTCAACTTGCACAGTCAAACTTTGTTATCGTGTACACTTCTTTGTCTTTGAGTCAGACATGTCTATTACAGCTTAGATATGAAGGCTTTATAACAAGGGAAATTATTTCGTGGGCAAGTGTAATCTGTATAGTCTGGTATACATACAATCTACCAAAGGATATTTTATTTTTTGCTTTCGACTTTTAATTCAGCAAAGAATACAGTAAGCCTGACCTTTACGCAATGTGGGAGAACAGAATCAACACAATGGTCGTTTAGTCTAAAATGATAACAAAACAAGGGAATAGTTATTGCCAAGTATCAGACTGCAAGTTCTTTTATCCACAAATACTGGTGATGATATTTCCTTGACCATTTTTTCAACAAAAGTGAAGGCCCCCGTGCCTTTCCACATAGCTACACACTGTGTATGCAAATTTTAAGTCAAGACATGTGTCCCCTTGAAGGCTCACAGGACTTCACAATACATGTAGGCTCTCGCCTATACCTTAGCTGCAGTTTGTTGTGAGAACAGAGGTATCTGTCTCTTACTGCTAACTACTTGTTTTGTGCAAATGTTTAGTTTTGAAGAATCTATTTTAAGTTTTTTCCAAGTCAGCCATCCTCAGCCTGCCTGCTCTTCCTTCACTTATAGTTTACATACGATACTTATGGCAAAAATTGCCGGACACAGCCTTGTGCCAGTGTGGAACTGGGGGGAGGAGGGGAGACATTTTTGACAACATACAGCAAGCTTGTCAATCCCAGAAAGACCGGTGTCTGTGGTAAAGCAGTTAGGCTCTTCACCATCACATGAAGGAGATACAATTTCAATTCCATAGTGAGGATGTATTTTTATCGAATAAGTCTATCTCCATCTACTTGCTGGATGGGATGCTGTACAATGTATTCCTCTCAACCTTGGTTGGCCCTGACAGACAGGATTGAAACAGTCTGCCTCTTAATTGATCTAAATCGTTTCCATGGGGGCATGGACCGTAAAACTGCTAAACCGTGCCACTCCATTAAAAAATGCTGGAGGCTACTACTGCCATTGCTGAGAGGAAAAGGTTTTTCCTTGTGAGGCCAGATCCTTTCAATAAAAGCAAGGGAAGCACCATGGCTTATGGCCTAAAATTCCCCTTAATACACTCAACTCTGTTTGTGTTGAACTCTCTTGAGTTGATCTTTGGTCAAGTAATTTTTTCTTTGAATCCCAGCACCTCTTCTTCTTTACAATTCCTACAGGTTAAGATAAATTTTGGATGACTTGATCTATTTTTCACTCCCCTGATGACATCTACTCGTCCGTAGTTGACTGTAACTGTTGGTTTTAATAGGCTGTAACTGTAAAGTTTTTAACAAACGAAAAACAAGCACACAGTGTAAGAGTATACCGGTATCAATTTATTTAATTTATATGTTCATGACCCTGTGTTCACAACGCAAGAGTGACAACAATCCATTTGCTTCCATAGTTTGTGAACTTGTACTGTAAATGGACACTGATTGTGATGTAGTCAAAGCTCAATTAACTTCATACATGTATGACTTTTCTCACTACTCATACTCACATACAACAGTGAAATAGAATTACTAGTCATCACACATGATGGATGCACAGACAGTCATGACAATACCTCTACTACTAGAACCATTTAAGGAAAAACATGTTTTATTTAGTCAAAGTATATAAACCAGTTTCATTCGAATATCACAGATTTGTACGAGAATTAAATTACTTATTAGAACCGAATGAAAACTGCAGTAGGTAACAAAATATATTCATTTATGTACACGATATAGTAGTGATGAACTGCGAGAAATGATGCATGAGCCAGTCTGCATGTTTCTCTATACCTTTATGGAGAGTATACTACCAGTAGTTTATCTTGTGAAAGAGTTTAGAAATTAGAAGCTGATTCAATTGTTCTTTATGAATTATACATATATAATCTCATTGCAAATACGTCTGAATTATAAGAACATCACATTTCGCCTCGATAGGTCACTTTTAACCTCGTTTAACGGTAATAGCTGTGACTGCTTTTTAAATGTAGCTATTTTTAGATATCTCTATCAATAAATAACATGAACATAGAGTGGGGAAAAATTATGCTACATTTAATACTCCAGCTTACCCAGAATAAAAGACAGGGCAAATGGATATTCAAAATTGAAAATATCAAACGTGATGTAGGCCTACTGATCTGCGACTAGCATTCTCTCTCACGTAAACCAGCATCAACTGACACTGGTGATATATGCCTATGTGATAGAAGGCAAGTCTGAAACAGATTCTAAAGAGGGGCACAACTGTGTCTTAGAAATTAGAGGCTTCCATTTTTAGCCAGAAATACATCACAAAGCACCCCACAAGCAAATCATTAATTCTCCACAGGCTTTTTAATTGATTGTAATTGTGCTGCTTCAAAGCCCCAGTGGACAGACCAATCCACTTTAAAAAGCTACGGCACAATTCACTTTCTTGTGGAAGCGAACAAAGACAAGCTTACTAAATGTTTTTTATATGAATTGCTCGTTACCATTGGAAAACTCCGCTTTACACTGCAGTGTATATCACTTTGTTATATTACGGCCTTCCAGTATTCCAAAATAAAATATTTCTTTTAAAGACTTAAGATCTGGGGTTCTGAAGGCTGAGTGGGTCCAAACATTGTAAACCCATCACTGAGCATTTTACAATAGACTGATAAGAAATTAGAATAAAAATAATTTGCTGAAATTGAAATGACGAGGTCTGTTCTTTTGTGTACCCTGACCACTATCTATAGAAAATAAGATAGGAAACTGAACATGATTTTCATTGCAGTTGATTTGGGGTTGAGGGGAGTGTACCATTGACATTTCGAGTCATCACATTTATTTTCTAGTTTGTGAGTCCATACTAAAAGGAGTAAAAAAACAATTCCACTTCTGTTGATTCTCTTATGAATTGAAACTATCCATATATATGTGGATCTATCAATTCGCTTTGACAAAGAGTTACAATATTTTTTTCACTAAAATTTTCTAAACATAAAGTGCAAATTTGATAACAAAGTAAAGGAAAGGAAATAAGAGCTATGTGACAAGCCAGAATTTTTCTGTCAGTGCTGCTGATCAGTACGTCTCCTCAATCTGTATCTCACTTTTGATAGCCTTCAGAACTTCCACACATTCCACAGTCAACTTTAGCTGACCGACCAAGATGCTCTCATCATGGCAATCCACAACTGAAAAAAGAAATTCATTTAACAATACACTCTGTTTCTTCACCGTACAAAACATGTTAAAAGCATAAAAAACACTTTGCAAAAATCCCAGTAGTTCTAGAACAAGTAGGGAGATATAACCGAAGAAAGCCTTACTTTGTATCCTTTTTATGACCCTGGATGGCTCTTCACCATTCCCCAACCCAGGCTGACAAGCAAATAACTAAAGTACAAGCAAATAACTATTGTGACCCAAAGAAAAATGTTAAAATTAATTTTTCTAGCACGGGGCTCAGTAGCTCAGCAGGTTTGGTGGTCACCTGTCTACCCAGAGGTCTAGAATTCAATCCCAGCCGGCATCAAGTTTCTTCTCATGTTTTTCCCTTATCCCAGTGGCAGGTGGGATCAATCACCTAGTCTTCTCAGATATCATATGAGGACGAAACATTTCAGAGGTCCTGAGTGGTACTGATAGAATAGTTTCATAAAGATTCATTGGCAGTTCAAAATTTACAAATTGAAATAGTAGGCCCTTCAGGTCAACATCCAGGCAAAATTAAAAGTTAATTCCTACCCAAAAATTGAAGCTACTCTTGTCAATATAATATTATTAACACAACCTTCCAAAACAGCATTTGGATACCTGTCAGGCAAGGGATGACTTTACATTCTAAAGATAAAACAGTCACGTACGTAAAATGAAGTGCACTGTGAGATACATATCGTACATGATTCAAATTCTTGATCTCTAGCAAGAGGGAAGAAGAAGATTTTTCTAATCCTAAAAAGATATGAGGAAAAGGTTGAAAAAACAAAAGTGCACAACTCACTGTCAATATCCTCATCAATGATGTCTTTGCCCTGCCGCAGCATTTGCTGAAAGTTGACATAAGCCACTCCCACTTCCTCACAGTTGACAGATTCATCCAGGCTCTCTGTCTGTGGCGGCTCACTGACCACAGTGAATTTCAGTCTGTTCAGGCAAGGCAGAGCATAAATTTATTAACAAGTTCACAAGAATTTTGTTTAAAGCAAGATGTAGGTGGCTGGGAAGGTGCCATTTGTTGTAGGCTTTACCTCTGTTATTTCTGTCTACCTCACTTGCTTTTTCCTAGACCATCATTTAGTTTGTGTGCTTCTCTTTATAAATATTCAAACAAATAAAGGCATGACTGTTCCAAGTTAACCTTCACACATACTAATATACACCACGATAACCCCTGATCCGCTACATTTGATGCCACTACATGCACTCTATAGGAACATAGCCTCGCTGTGTGAGTTTGTACACTCTGTAAAAGACTGATGACTGAAACAGTAGGTTCCTCTTCCACACCATGACAGAACACTGTTTAACTTCCATCGAATCATCTTACCAAAGACTTTATTTCCCCTAATATTTCTAATGTGGTTGAAGCTTTCTCACCTGCCCTGATCCTGATGGTTAGGAAGTAGCATGCTTGCCAAATGTCTCCGGCGCTCGTAATGTTTTTCCATATCTACTGGAATACCTGTAATCATTGGCAAATGTTGGGTTAAATCACATAAATTGTACAAACAGACATTACACAACATACATATAATCCTTTTCATCTTCACCCACTGAAATTCAAATTACTGTACTAAATTACAGTCGAACCTGTGTAAGACGGCCACCCATTGTCAAGGAGGAAAGTGGCCGTATAAGACAGGTGGCCGTCTTACTCTTAGGCAGGGCTGATCAAGATGAAGAAAACAAACCATTCCATTCTGAGGTCCCAACTGAAGGTAGCCGCATTGTTGTTGTTGTTTTCGCGGGGTTTTATTCTCTTTAAAAAAATTTTGTTGCTGCTTTATTGCAAGGGTGACAATAAAACGAAATGTGTCAGACAAGGAGGACCGAGTGCTATGGTAAAACAAACACATTTGTGCCACCACTCAGAGAACGAGCGACGCTTCTGTCACAAGTTCATGTTGACGTCCACTGTTACTTTGTTACAGACTGGGTAAACAATGACCACTCATCTCACTTACGATTTGTGTATGAGTTCTGGGCAGGGCTTATGGATTATGAGGGATCACACACTTCCTTCACCTGCAGCTGAAAATGTGTTACCTATTGGTCAACAGCAGGAGGGGCCTACACAACATGATCGGTTGGAGGGACTATCTAACAACAACGACAAGCGATTGGATTATGACGGCTCGCACACAACGCTAGGGGCCAATGCATGATTTATGACAAAATGTAATAGACTGGCCCTCCAGGAAATCGCGGTCGGCCACGTTTTTCGTCGAGTTCCGCAATAAACCCGCAATTTCTTGCAATTTTAGGCAAAAATACATCACGCTATAATTTTAACAGAATTTTTAATACGAAATGGTGCAAGCACAGAGCCGATAGGCCTACGTAAATCATGGTATCGGCCCAGCTCAAGCCTACTGAGCGTACTCTAAAAGCTATAACTGGAAATTCAGGCCGGAATGCATCATGTACAACACGAACTGAGACATAGGCTAGGCCGAGAAGGTGGCCTTCTTTGGGCTAGGCTTTTATCTAATGTGTGTAAGCGTGCGCATGTGATAAGAAAGTAGGTGTGTGCGTGTGTGAGGTGTACGTGAGTGTGTGTGCGTGTGAGTGCGCGCTCATGCATATTGTTCGTACAAGATGCATGTGTCTACATACACGGTAACCGGGCACCTAGTCTCAGTATCTACGTACACGGTAACCCACCAGAATGAAAATTAACCAATATTTGTCCTGTGCTGTCACTTGTTGACATAAAAAAATGAAAGTTATACACGCGTCTTTTCAGGCTCGCCATCGTTACCGGTCAGTGAACCTGTGCTCTCGCATCACATTGTGAGTACCGGTTGTGGTCACCAAAGTTCATTCATAGTCATAGTCTATGCGCTACGAAGTATAGGGCTCCGGAATGGGAGAATTATTGATTTACCCCCAAAAAATGTGTACAGTCTGGGGAGGGCTGGAGTTGAAGGCAACACCGGATGACAAAAACTGAATTTGGAATTCTTAACTGCCCGGTTACTGTGTACGTGACACTGAGACTAGGTGTCCACGTACCGTGTGCGTAAACACCCCGTTATGTAAAACGCCTTAAGCTGCATTCACACGGGAGTGGGTGCTATAGAAATGATCTAGATCTACATTAGTCATTAGTACATGTGTTACTATTGTTTATAAATGGAAAAAAAAAATTTGCTGTATTTTACTATTTAACTTAGTGTTAAAACAATACCATGCCAGTTTTAAAACAGAAAATATCAGAAATAGATCTAAATACAGATTACTGGTGTATCGAAGGTTTCAAGAGAAAAATAGAACAGGATCTGATTTGATTGGATCATAAGCTTATTTTGTATTTAGAGGATGTTTCGAAAATCTCTCGTCAATTTTTTTGTTTTTTATAGAATAAACCTCATACATGAATGTACACTTCTAGATTTTTGCAAGAACCAAGTACCCGGTATGTACTAAATTTGGTCAAATTTTATGCCTTCATTTACAAGTTATTACGAAAACTGAGGATTCTATTATTTTGTGTCACGCGTTATCATATTATATTTGGTCGATAACTTTATTGTTAACGTACTCGTGTGTTGTTACTAGTAAATGTTGTTAATAACATTTGATGAATTTGTAATGTTTGTCATGATTTTTTAAAAGGCTGAGCTGCTTTTATGCTACCGGTACTCAAAACTGTCATGTTTTTTAAACTAAAAATGTTAAGCCCGTATTAATGTGCCTGGGATGGGAAGGTTGCAATTTTTAGGCGGTTTACCTTGCAATTTTTTTATTTAAAAAATGCAATTTACCGTGGGGCCAGAATAGAGTAACTACTAAGGTGGCCATCTAAGACTAAGACAGGGCAGAGATGCCAACCAGTACGATTTTACGTATTTTAGTACGATTTTTTGCCGAAAATACGCGAATACGACTTTTCATGAAAAAATACACATCCTGGAATGCGAAAAATACGAGATCCAGTTTGGCCGAGTAAACCTAATTATCTCAAGTCCCATCTTTTGTCAAAATAGTATCAGTATCGCGGAACTGGAATATTTGTAAACCAAGTCCGATAAGGTCGGTAAGTTCATTTTTGCCGGTCGCGAATGTGATATTATATTCGTTTAGCTTTTCCTCCTCCGAGGGTACATTTCACTATCACGCGAACAGGCAGCTATGGCGGCAGACGGAAGTGTATATGACACCGAGGCTTGATCGGGAAAATCAAGATCTACTTTCGCTTTCGTTACCACCGAGAAGTTTGCCAGCGGTAGACTGATAACACAACTTATTTTGATATGCAGGTTGTGCAGTGTAAACGCTGTGTTGCCATGCAAATAAAATTTCTCGAACTCGTCTCTGTGCTGTCACTTGGAAAAAAAGAAAAGAAAATACAAGCGTCGTCCGATTTTTAGATTGTCGGGCTCGCCATCGTGACCGGTCAATAAACCTGCGCACATTCGCGTCATAAATAAATGCGGCATCGTGTGAGCAAAGACCGTGTTTGGTGGGAGTAACGGCGTTGCGAAGTATAGGACTACGGAATAGGGGAGGGGATTATTGATTTTTTTTAGTACACTCGAGGGGGGGGGGGGGTGTGAAGGCAACACCAGAGGACAAACACTTGGAGGCAAATTTCAGAATTTTGATTAGAGCTCTCTGCAAAGCGCGCGTTAGTGCAGGCCGTGTGCGGAATTGGGACCCTTCATACTTTGCAAGTCCGTGTAATTGAAATAAAATGTTCGCGTGTCATTGGGTGGGTGATAGTAAATTATTCCTACAGTATAAGTTGTAGCTTTCTGTTCAAGACGGGCAGATTTTCAGTGTCACTGCATCTTGCCCTCCCGTACAACTCTCACAGTGCACGCGTTTACTTTATCCATTCAAGTTCAAGTTATTGCTCTTCTCTGAGTTTGAGCTATAATTTGAGTCTGTCAGTTCATAATATGAATCATGACACTCTGACTGGTTCTTGATAGTCGAAGTTCTTGTTCTAGGCCCTTCCGAACGCTCAAAACATGATTAATTTTTTTATAATAATAATGAGAGGAAAATATTATAACAGACTGAAATTAAGTCAAACAGGACCCCAGTACGACATTGAACACTAAAATGTTGTTGACTGGATGCATGTTTATTGTACGCGTGTGTGCTCCCTTTTTCGAGCTGGTGAGCTAGTAAATTTTTTCAGGAAATATTGCTGGACACCCTGAACATTTTACTATTATGGTTGGTCGGTCGGTCGGTCGTGGAGAATACACATTTTCCCCTGAAAATACACATTTTCATATATCTCAATATTCATTTTGGTTTTCTGTGGTTGGCATCTCTGACAGGGGTTATAGTTTGGTGTGATAGGGGTTGTGTGTTAAAATAAGGTGGCCGCAGCCGTGTTGGACAGGTGCCCATTTTACACGGTTAATAGAAAAACCGTCATGGCAGGTTCGACTGTATTATATATTTTTACCCATTTTTTTTTGTACTTTAATAAATTCAGCAAATAATTGACACCTTTGTCTCAGGAGATATATATGCAACAATTACCAGACATCAAACTCTGCCTTTTCAAGTGACCTACAAATACAGGAAAGTTTGTAAGATGTAAATGATGTCTTTCTTCTTTACACAACGTAAGATACATGAAACAACTCTTCTTTGGTTTTAAAAATTTCTGGCTAGAAAAAAAAACAATCTTACTTTAATGATACAATATGAATTGGAAAAATACTAAAAAAGTACTTTTCCCAAAAATAATGCAGGTACGTTAACAGGTGCAGATGCGACAATATTTTCTCTGAATTCAAGACTCCTAACTACCAGTTAGCAGAATGAGAATACGACTGTGTTCCGCCGTTTGTTTTTTATAACACAGAAGCAAAATCTATGAGCTACAGCTTAAAAATAAAGTTAACATTATGGCCTACTTTTGCTGAAGTTGAAAGCAATACTTCGATGAGGCTTAGGCTTGGGTAAGGAGTCTGGCGTCTCCACAAACTCCAAGTCATAGAACCAGTACTCCACGTAGAGCTGCCTCACATTGTCATCCAGCATGGGCGGGGAGTCCTCCTCCAGAGACAGCTGCGAGATCACAATGGTCACCGTGTCGTTCTGGACAGGAAAAAGGATATGATGTTTCAATTTTTTATTTAAACAAAGATTCAGTCATTAAAAATAATATAATATTTCAATTTTTCACTTTACCTGGCTTCTTCACACTTCCCACTGTTGATATCACATCTTACATACATTATAAATCTATATATGTGAGGCGTGCTGACAAAATGAGTTACTTCTCGAAAATCATAAATGGATATATTTAAGAAAAATTGACACGAGGGTCAAATTTGTAGAATTTTTATTGATGCCATATTCTTTAACTATAATACGTCTTTTATTACTTCATACTTATAAATTGTAAAAGCTTCACCTATAAGCATGATGTATCTATTTCCATAAGGCTGAAATCCGAGAAGTAACTCATTTTGTCAGCACACTTTACATATATAAAAATATAGCCATTATCATACCGATTTGCTTCAAATTACCAAATACAAATCAACTATAAAATTGCATTACTATTAATATTAACTTGGGAGGACAAAATAAGCAGTGCATCTAAATGACACAACATCATTTAAATTAAACTTAGGTAGATTTGAAAAAATATAGAATACCCAGAAAAGTATGTCGGCTACAAATACTGCCCTCGGTGCCTTCTTGCAAAGGGATATTGAGGACATTTTGTAAACAAATCTGATTTTGAAAAATTAACAACACGCTCTTTTCTTACTTTTTAAAAAACAAAAGAAACTCACACTCTTGGCCTGCCTGCGCTTGACCCGTGCTGGAGTCTCCTGTACGACCATGATCCCTTCACTGTCTGACTCCACAACAGGAGGTTCTGACGCCTCAGACTCGCGTGCTGAGCTCACCACAGGCTCCTGCTCTTCCTCTATCAGTGTGTCCTCACCTTCCAGCACCTCCTCCACGATTTCTTCTTCAACTGTAAGAAGAAAAACCAGTCCATATATTACTTACTGCTAATAAAGTTATAACAACTGACACTGTCCGTTGTGCTTTTATTTCTGGTCAACTTGTTTATTTTGAGAAAGAAATATAAACTAAAAAGTGAGCTCATTACTGGTATCAAGATGAAGGGCACAAGTTTAAGTTGCTGCTGGACTGGGAAAGTAAGTTAACATAATAATATATATACACTGATTAATTACACATCCTCTCTTAGTAGTCTTAGCAAGAATCCTGTATGGTCTTCAAGATTTCAGATCACTTTCATCATAAACAACATTTTAAAAAGGGTTCCTCGAGATATAAGAGCCGATCCATCAATGCAAGCTTCAGTAGTTTAAGTCAGAACAGGGCATGCATCCGGGATAAACAATATTGACAATTAGATTTTTTAAAAACAAAAAAAACATGGATCATGTTCTGAGGCACCGACTCAAAAATATGAAAATTAGAAATCTGTTTACTTTATTTATATATTATTTTATATATTATATATATTAGTTATCTTAAGATAATGAGTATTATTTTGGATGTTATAGATCTATATATATATTATATATCACTAACAAAGATAAGATGGTATTCTAAATACCTGCAGGTCTTTACACCAAAGTCAAAACCAGCTACAGTTGCACAACATAAAAGACAGATTCAAAGCTCAAGTCTAACAGGGGGCAAAATCATCATCTTTTTTTTTTTGGTAGAATATTTCCTGTCAGTACAAATATCCAACAGAAGGATCAATAAAAGCACCTTCTATCAGGTGACCTGGTCTGTCACAGTCTGTGTTTATTTTTGGGCGGCACACAAAAACTTAACTTTATGGAAAGAAAAGGAACTAAAGTATTTTTATCTTTTTCCTCACCTTCTTCTTCTTCCTCCTCCTCTTCTGCTGCAGAGCGGGAAGGAGATTCCTGGAAAACATACAGGGCATGTGCAAGAATTCATAAATTTCATTTATGGAGGAAACTTGGTCTAGTGTATCCTTGGAAAATGCACCATTTTTCCTTGACTCAGGCTAGGGTACATCAGCAATATTGTTAAACCTTTGAGTTTAGGGGTTAATCAATAATATGTCATCCCACCTATGTGGTGATCTGGTATCACCTCTTCTCTTTCGCTTTAAAGAAACAAGGATTTATGAACCTGACTGGTCATCAAAGAATTATTATATTTCTCACTGAAATTATTAATAATGAAAGCAGACCAATTTGAGTTGGGGAAAAAGCAGGTTAACATTTTTTTAAAAACATATCAGACTTTCCTGACAGCACTCTAGAGCCTCTTTTTCTGAGAATCCAACTTACCCCTTAGAGATGATGCTAATTATTGGTGCATTTTCAAAAGAATGATCAACATTTAAAAAAACCTCAAAGATAATGGATGACAATTTGTAAGATTTGAACAGTTCGCGCAGTCAAGAACGCATTTTGACACAAACATCACTATGCAGCTGGAAATACAAACTATGAGACTCGATTCTACATTTAACATTATCATGTGTCTTACCTGAGTTGGAGTTGTTTCTCGGGCTTGTTCTGTGCATGAAAATAAGAAAAGAGGAACAAAGTCAAAACAATTGTCACATTGTGAACTTTATGGAAATTTGAGATAAGAAAAACTCCAAGCAATAAAAATTTTTCTGAACTTCAATCAAAAAAGGATGAAAATTAAAGACAGATTATATCTGTTAGAATTTAACAGAAAAAATATTCTTGATTCGATGATATCACAAACTAAAGCCCTATGTAATTGAGTCCACATTCATACAGGGAAATTAAAAGGACTTGCATTAGGTCAGACATTCAAATAAGTACTTTCACCATGATATTTTCTACACAACATAATAACAATAACAATGACACCTGCAAATATATAAATCTGTCTTCAGCATCATTCATCTGCATCTCAGAAATGTATAATTTTTCTACTCTTTGCTTTTATGCAACAGAGACATGACAAGACCATAAGCTTCAGTAGGCAGCTTTGCATGTAGTCTTTTCCATATATTTGAGAAAACCATATTATTGTCATCAACAAAAACACATGCATAATGTATAAGAATTATTATAGGAATATCGCTGGCACTTGTGCGAGCAACATTATGTCCCAACATAACACAATCCTTGAACGTGAACACAAGCTTTGGTATACACTATATTAGTCTGATGAAAGAAATGAAAATCATAAGAGAGAAAAGGGAGGCAGAGCACCATGCTTTACTGACTGAAGAAAACATACATTTCATTATTCATGTATAGAATTCTGATGAAGGTGGGGAAACTAATACATGTATTGAGCATGCATTTACAATCAGAAAAATACAAGTTTCAATTTTATGCTTCTGAACATTATCTGATTATCAAAATAAAGATTGAACTCATGTTTAATAAGCTGCTGTCTGAGAAAAATAGAAATATGGAAAAAATAAAAGTGTAAAAAAAACCCCATTAGAATTTTAAAAAGGAGTGACTGATAAAAGAGTAAACTTGGCTGTGAGTGTTTGTGTAAATTCAACAGCTGAGTCAAACTTATACAATGATGCATCCAATACCTCAGTAAAGCTTATGGTTTTGTAACTTTACTCCACTTAGAAACCTTTGAGTCCTGTACTGTAAATGATAGTAGTTTTTTTTTTTGGTGAGGTGTGTGTTTATTCTTTAGAATCTATATTTCAGGGTAAATGAGAAAAGATGTGAGAAGGATTCAACGCTAAGGCTTATTAGAACAGCAAGGGAAAAGGGAGAGCAACTGAAAAAGGGAAATTGGAAATAGAGTAACCACAAAGAAAACTTAAAACAATATTTAAGGGGAGTGGGGAATCTGCACCTTTGTAACATTCTGTCTCTGACTGAAAATTTCATAAACAATAGCAGAGAGTGAGAGTGAGGTTTTCATAAAGTTGGAAGAAAGATTTGCTTTTGAAACTGTCAGTCTAAGTAAAGTTAAATTTCAAGAACATAGTTTTCAGTGAGTTCAAGACATTGCCCCTCAGCATAAAGGCATGGGTAGGCAAAAAAGTTGGATTTTTTATATTTTAAAAATTCTGACCTTTCAACTTCTAAGACTACTGTAACATCAGGTACAAATAATAATAATAGACAGTATTTGTATAGCGCAAATCCCCGCTCAACAGCAAGCTCTATGCACTTCACAACCTATACTATTACCCCAGCAGACCTGAGAGCATTCTGAAACAAACTCAACTTCCTGGGAAGCATACAGTGCAAGCAGCCATTTATTCGCCCTAAAACACTAACATACTGACAAGATCTTTCGCTGTCTATGGTCGGATACCCATTTCCACCTGGGTGAAGTGAGAAAAATTCGGGTAAAGTGTCTTTCCCAAGGACCCAATGTCGGGCCTGCAGCCTCACAATTACGAGTCCGGTAGCCTAACCACTAGGCCGCCCACGCCAATGTCTATAAAAGGGAACAACATTTTTTTCTCTTCCATTCTACGAAGTAAGGGGCGCATTTGGATTTTTTGGGGGAAATCTCTTGGCATCTTATTTTAAGCCTAACTGGTAGTATAGTCCTCATGTCTTTTACCACTTCAGTCCACACACAGCTACAATTTTAACAAGTAGGCCAATCCCTTGACATGGAACTAATTAGGGTCTACAACAGTACACTTTAAAAAAGGGCTCAATTGCTGACAAAATACTAACTCAGCCATGAATGTGTATAGCCTACATACTACAGGGAGAAGAAATACAAAAAATATTCTCAAAATGTTATCATAAATATATCTTATTATTTATATATTATATAAATAACAGATGCCTCAGTGTAAAAACATGAAGTAAGGACATCTATTTTTATATTCCCCATTATTGCAACCTCTGCCTAAATGATTTGAAACAAGTGAAATCCAGAAAGAACACAGGGAGGCCAGAGGGTTGGTAAAGCAAAGCCACAGCCATATCTCAGGACTGAGAAACAACAGCAGAAGGAAGTGCACAACACTGAACAGGAAATGAAATTAATATATATACAGTCGAACCTGTGTAAGACGGAATCGCAAGGGAGCCAGAAAAAAATTTCGGCGTAAGGGAATTTAGAGGGAGACGGAGGTTGGGGGGTTCAAAGGCCCAGCCGGTGGGATCAAGGATCGCTTGTCTGATCGGCAAGCAGTGGTCCTTGTTGTTGTTGTTAGCGATCCAGTAGCATCTGAGCGTTAACTCTTCTGCATGATGCCATTCGGTAATAGTTGCATGTTTGTTCTAATTGTGTCTTGAGGAGTAGAGGCAATTAGATGTGTGGGGTAGCTTGGGAAGAAAACATCCCCTTAAATCAGTTAGTTTTCTGCAGAAAAACAGATGATGTTCCACTGTCTCTGAGGGGTAGTCACATAGTGGGCAGGCAGCAGACTGCTTTACTCCAATTCGGTTGAGGGGTACATGTTGTGTTCTAAGTTGGAAGATTATGGATTGATCTCCCCTCCTCAACTCATTGATTGGATCTTTGACCAGTGGTTTATTCATGTGGCCATACATCCTCCTTCCTGCCGTATCTGTGGCCCAATCATTCATCCACTCTTCCTTGAGGTTTGACTTGATCATTTGGCAGCAGGTGGTGTAATTCGTAGGAATTTCAGGCTGAGGGAGACTAGCTCCTTTCTTTGCAAGCAGTGGTCAAAACTTCACATCTCTCCTGTCTGATAATGACATGCGTTAGTCTTACTTATCCAATTGCCACCAAAGCTTGCTTTTCATAGGACCACTCTTTGACCAATTAAAAACAGAAACGTTTGAGCATCTCCTTTGAATCCACCCTCATCCCCACCCACCAATGCCACCCCTCACTGCCATCATTGTAACAACGATTCGAGGAACTTTTTTCTCCGCTGGCCGTACGATCAGGGCGGCAGGCATTGGTCAATCTAATTTCACTCCTCTGGCTTCTGGCTACCCAGGAAAGTTTCCGCAGTGGCTCGCTACTCGAGCACTCTCACGGGAAGTCATGAGATTTCACACCCACACTACACTGACCATCTGCATTACTCAGGGCTCACATGATGGGGTAACATCTGCCCCCAAATTGCACCCCTACTCCTCTTCCTCGCCCAGTGGCATGGCCATAGTGTAAAGTTTAGAGCCAGCGGAACCAAACTTGCGAGTTTTGTTTCAAATCAGGGCTGAGCGTGCTTTTCTTTCCGTTTCCGTGTTGGACAGGTTTCCGTTTTATACAGGTAATTAAAGAGGAATATACCAAGGGGGGAGCGGGGAGATTCCGTTAAGACGGGTTTCCGTTTTATACAGGTTTCCGTTAAGGCAGGTTCGACTGTTTATGAACAAAACAAATAACAAGCATAACATACGAGCATGTCTTTTATACAACAGGCAACACTGATTGAGACTCGAGTGGACAGGGAGTTTTGAAAGAAAGTGGGGAAAGTAAATTAAAATGAGAATAGTAATAGTCAGAAATTCTGTGAACTCTTTTTTGTTTGAATTTGAAGGAAGTCTGGTAAGTAAAATTTAACATTCACTACATAACATTTGTAACAGGAACCTATTGAATACAAGACAATATTGTAGTTTTTTTGCTGGCATAACAGCTACCATTTTAAGCTAGACTTATCAAAAGGTAATGTGACATTAAGCAATTTGAATTCCTCCAACTAACACTTATTTCATTTACAGTTGAATTTCAACAGCAACATGTTTGCATTATCTGGCGACTAAAAATATCAGTCTCCTTCACAGGCTATATTTTCCATACAAGAACAGTTTTAACCCGTGTTAGAGGAAAGGACAACCTAAAACTGGCAATAGAACTAAAAAATAGTAGTGAAGATCGGAGCAGAATGACTGATGGAGAGTGACATTTAAACCCCAAAAAGGGTATGCAGGTGAGAAAATCTGAAATTGGTAGTCCATTAAATTTCTCATAATTATTAGACAGGTGGCTATCAAAAAGGCAAGTTGTCTTAAAACAGAGTTGCTCATCATATTCATAGCATATGATTTTTTTAAAAAGCATTTGGTCATAGGTTGAAAGGGAAAGCATGAAGGAAATTGTTCTTAAGCAATAAAGATATGAACATATCAACCCCATGCATCACTTTGTGTGCCGAAAAGCCGAAAAGCAAAAAAGTAAAGCAGGCATGCTGTCCAAAAGGAAAATTGTGAACAATCACCATGTGTGTTCATCTTACTCATAAAGAGCTGAGTTCTAGCTTTGGGTTTGGGTCTTTGTTTACCCTCTGGCACTTTGTTCGGTTTGCTCTTGGGTGCATGGAAGTACTCTACAGGGAAATAACGCATAACAAAATAGCAAAATGAGATTAAATCAATAAATTAAAAAAGGCAAACAGTACATAAGTCAGCAGCCACAGCATTCATCCTGTTATTACAGAACTATTTCTCTTTCATACTCCCTTTGGAAAGTTATGCAGCTCCCAAAATCAGTTTGATATTTCACCCAGAATACAATTTGTAAATTTATTCTTTAAAATTGGTAAATTAATAACACAAGACACCTATACAAAATAGAATGCCTTCAGATGGTGCTGTCTTATGCCCTATAAAAAATCTTTGGTCAAAAAGTCAAGTCTACCTTTAAAAATAAAATAAAAAAGACACTAAAATAAACAAAAAATGCTGATCAACATGAAAATTACTATGAGTTTCCGCTACAACAGAAAACAAGACTGAAAATGTTTTAGTGAGTAATCACAAAGACAAAATAGTTTTAAAGAAGTCATTACAAAATTTTGCACACATCTAAGAAGCAATTGTGATAATAAGAAAACTTGAATATATATCCACAATGCCTGGGATAAAAAATGTATACAGATGATTAACAATAACACAATGAGCGTTTTTTTTAAACATTCTTGCGTTAAACCTCTCCAATCATCCCAAAAATTCATCTTCATTCTATTCCTCTAACAGGAAGAAAAACGAAATTTCTTTTTAACTCTTTATCTCCGGCAAACCGCTCGGCTCGTGGTCGGAACCACTGTGCCGGTGAGCCGCTGACAGCAGCCCGGTCACATTTCTTTACGACGACTTCGACATCAAATTAATTTTCGGCAATTTATCAGGGTTTCATTCATTAAATGAAGATCTATCAAAATAGGTAAATTTGTTTTGATTTAACGACCAATTTAGAGACGTTTTTCTCATTTTTAGATTTAGTATAGTGGATTTACAACCTTCGGAGATAAATAATTAATGAACATGCTGATTGAAAGCAATAGAAAAGACTTATAAATACATAATTGTGTGTGCGTATGTGTACATGTGCATATGTGTGAGAGAGGGAGATAGAGAGAGAGAGAGATAGAAACAGAAAGAGAGAGAGAGAGAGAGAGAGAGAGAGAGAGAGAGAGAGAGAGAGAGAGAGAGAGAGAGAGAGAGAGACAGAAAGAGATAGACAGAAAGAGATAGACAGAAAAAGAGAGAGAGAGAGAGTGTGTGTGTGTGTGTGTGCGTACGTGTGTATGTGTGTGTGTGTGTGCGTGTGTATGTGCGTGCGCGTGTGTGTGTACCAGTCTGTTTGTGATGCACAAGTTCTCTTTTAAAATAGCAACAAAGTTCAGAGAAGAATGAAGATTTGCACACAGACAGAAAGTCCACTTCAAACTCCCAAAGCCTCAGAATCTGGCACTCGCTACTAAGGGAACAGAATAAATATTTGAGAGAAAAAAGCTGTAAATTTGAGCTGAAACAAAGAAAATTAGCTGCAAGTAAAAAGAATAATGAAATGAAAAAACTACAAGATCAAACATTTGTTTACACACAAAGAATTAAAAAAAAAAAAAGATGGATGGTGCTGGGATACCTTCCTCTGATCCCGACTCCAACTGAAGAGAGGAGCGCGGAGGGGAAGGTCTAGCCTGAAGCTCCTCCCCCTCCTCGCTCTCCTCTCCAGCAGAGGGTCCTGGCATGGCTGCATTAGGGGAGGCAACCAAAACGGAATTAAAGCTCAAGAAAATATACATACATATATATATCATCACAAAAGGCATAGAGTCCAGAGGATTTTCAGTCTGAGAAAAACTATGATAAGAAATACCACAACTGCTCTCCCTGCACCTTGACTGTTAATGTACAGTTTGGATCATTTACATGGAAACCTTAAGCTCCTGTATTCGTTCAAAAGCAAAATGTTCTTAAGCATTTCAGAACCCCCCCAACTGTGCTTTTTATAAAAGACTTTAAATATAACTATGGGTTGCAATTCCTTTTCTACACCACACAATGCTTAGAGACAACTTTCAACTTTCATTCATCTCTGAAAAAAAGACAACCCAAGAAGGCAGGGAGCCAGGACTAATTAAATAAAGTTCAAGAGAGCTGCATTGTAGATTGGAATCAAGACTGAATAATAAAAGAGCTGTGTCTAAAAAATGAAGACATTTACAAAGAAAAGCAAAAGTAGAAAATTGAATACTATGATCAGCAGTCTTACTACTTTTATCTTGGAAAGAAACAGCAATACTTTACCAAAGAAAAGAACAAAAGATCAAGTTTCTTACACTATACAGATTTTTAGTCTGGCAGTAGACTATATCAATAAAAGCATGCTACGGTCTACCCTGTTTCAAGTCATTCAATACACGTTACAGCATGTTCTTCAAAAGAGTATAGAAGCTCGAAGAAAAGAAATCCACCAATCCCATCAATCCACCTGAAAGTTTTACACGATAATGTAAAATCTTGGAGCACATTTTGTGCCCTCATTACGCTATTGCACTATTTCAATTTTAGAAAATGAACTAAACTCTTTCCACACCACTCAAACATACACTGCACTATCAGAACAAATTACTTATCAGTAAAATGATTTCCCAAGGGAAGAGTTAAAAATCAAAGAGACTCGAGAGGGACTTGAAGAAAGTACAAACAAACAAAAATCACTGCAACCAGCTCAAACAGCACCACAAATATTGACACTCCTCTCTGTAAATGTTACTTTCTCCAAGCAAAATACACAGCACATTTACCTCAATTACATGTGTAACCCTATCCGTACGCCCTGGGGTCATTTTGTACCCCCAGGGTTGTATTCTTCACATTTTAGAATACTTCTAGTACAAAGATCTCTTTAAACTTTCAGCATTTCTCAAAAAATCATTTTGACAGACTGCTATGCAAAGCGTACGGATCGGATTAAGGAGTAGATTTCCTCTTTGAAAGTGGCGCAGAATTCCCCACGTTGTATGGACACAATAGTAAAACACAACGTACGGATAGGGTATATACTCCAATAACAAGACACAGCAAAACAAGAGACCGATCCCTTTACTACTTTCATAGATTATGGACAGGAGAACCCTTAAAAGAACTCCCTGGTACTACCTGTGTCTGACTAATTACTAAAAGCTGTGCGTATCTAAGAGAATACTTATCAATTGACTTTCATTTCCTTTTACTTCTTACGCAAAAAAAAAAAAAAAGAGAACAAAGAACGAACTAAGAGTTCAAATAAATGGGTCTATTTTTAAAGCCCCACTAATAACATAATATCTAACATTAGCAAGCTGAAAACTCTACAAAACTTTTTTTAAAAGATTACAAATAAGTGAGTAAACAACCAACTAGCATCAATCAAAGAAAAGTTGTCTAAAATGTCCAACGCGACAATGATTTTACCTGATTCTTCTTCCACAACACTTGGGGGCCCAAGATCTGTCACAGCACTTGATTCTGAGAGAAACACGGAGAAAAAAGAAATCATCATTATCAATCTAAAAGAAGATATTTCTGGAAAATTTAAATGATTATTCACATTTTTATTCCTCAACAGCCCAAGTCATTTTAGTACTAGTCCTTTAAAAAAAATTAAAAACAAGGAAAGTTGTACTGAAACAAGACAAAACTATGGTGTTAGTTGCAACTTGATATCTTTATTTTAAAAACAGCTTTATTTAGACCCCCCACCCCGTAGTACAGTATTTGGAGATAAGTTATTCTCTCTCTTCCTCTCAAAAGCACACTTGTACACAACCCCACACATGTACACAAACCTACACATATACAGACACACACACAACACACACACACACACACACACATACACACACATACAGATACAGACACACCATACAAACACACACGAAATAATACAGTCTAATGTTCAAATTTAAATTGCTCTCAACACACATACATATAATGCTCTCTCTTTATCACACAAACGCACACACACACACACACGCACACACACACACACACGCACACACACACACACACACACACACACAAATATACACACGGATATAAACATTTATAAACCCACGTAAAAAGGATTGTTCAACTTTCAAATTCATATTATTCTCTTTCTCTCTCACACGCATATAAACAGACACACACAGACACACACACACACGCACGCGCGAACACACACACATAACAAATAGATACAGACATTTGTAGACGCACTTAAAAGGATTGTTCAACTTTCAAAGTTAAATTATTTTCTCTCTCTCTTTCTCTCTCACGTACACACACACACACACACACACATACATTCACACACACATACATACACAAACACATGCACACACACACGCAAACACAAGCACACATTTATACACATAGATAGACATTTGTAAACGCACTTAAAAGGATTGTTCAACTTTCAGAGTTAAATTATTTTTTCTCTCTCTCTCTCACGTATACACACACACACACACATACAAACACACACATACATACAAAAACACACACACACATATATACACAAATACACATACACACACAGTCACAAAAGCCATAGCATCTTAGCTGAAATAGAAGACAAGAATACGCTTGTCTAACAGAAACAGAACAACAACACAATAATATCAAAGAGGAGCCAACCTCCAGGCACCGAGGAGATGGACTCTGACATTCGCGGCATGAAGCCCGAGATGACCTCGGCCACGGTGTCATTGACCTCGTTGACCTCAGGCTGGTCCTCATGCTCCGTGCTGCTTCCCTCTGAGATTTGGACCTTGCGTCTTGAGACAGGTTTTGGCTGAGAAGGTTTTAGTTCAGTTTTAGTAGAGGTTTTACGGCGCTCGCAACTGCATAAGGTCATATGAGCGCCAGAAGATTAGAGGTGTTACATGAGAGTTACAAACATAAAAAAGAAGGAAGGGAGAAAAGGACGATAGAGGTTTGATAGGAAAGAAGAAGCAAGCCACACCAGAGCACCCGCCAACCACCCACTGGGAAGGTTTAGAAGAAAAACCGGGATGAGATGAATGAAAATATTTGGACCCATCATGCATTCATTTGCGGATGTATAAAATAAACTCTGTTCCTTCCCTTTTGTGGCTTTTATTCATCTTTCTTACTAGATCTATTCCCAACACCAAACGATCGTTATCATGCCAGTGGGCTTCTCTTTGTTCAAACTTTTACAAACAACTCATCAAGGTTAAGCGATGATCTGGTCTCTTTGGTTGGTAGAAGCTGGCACCATGCTGTCGTATGTCACAAGTTAAAGGAATAGTGATGATCAAAGGGGTGAACAGCTTGGGGTGGTAATGGGGGCGGGGAGGGGGGTGGCGGGGGGGTAACAAAATGAGTCAAGTAAGTCTCACATGATTATCTATACAACTTGAATTTTTTTTATAAAACAGAAGCTTTGTGATTTGACAGCAGAAAACTTCAAAGTTAATCACTAATATTGGTGTCAGTTTTTATTGAGCCAGTTGAGATGTAGAAATGCACATTCTACTGGAAGTAGTGGGGAGGGGGAGGGATGTTGGAAATAGAGTTTACTCAATATATCATCCACAATAACTACAGAACAAAAATCCATTCATACTGGTAGAAGCAGGCCCGGAAGACATTGCAACACATTTTGTACTGTACATTTCATTCACAATTCATCAATTCATGCTTATCAAACTAACAAAACTCGAGAATGACAAACTATATCAAATGAATTCTGAAGTCACACATCTTCAAAAAGTTGATTGAAATCCTAAGAAAATCATATTTCCTTCATAATAACAGCAGAAACAAACAGCTCTTGAAACAGAAAAAAATTCTTGAATCTTGTGATTCAACAAGGATATAATGTATTCAACGAAAGCAGCATCAAAATAAAGATAGCTGAAGACTCTTTAAGCTAAATATCAACAGTTCGGTTCAGTCCATAGAGTGAACAACCAGAAAAACATGAGATTTGAAGATAAAAAGGTTAAAAATGGGGGGAAAAAATCCTAAAGGAGAGACAAGCAGACTCACTCCTGTTTCTGTCCTCTGAGCATGAGAAGGGTGCAAGAGATCTTTGTCCATTGGAGTGGACGTGGCTGTAGGACCTCTTTGCTTCCTTACAGCACGCGCTACCTGGGGCCCCGGTGGGGACCCGACCAGTTCCTGCCTTGTTGGGGGTCCCTCAGCCTCCAGTTTCTGGGGCGGCTCATCTGGAGCCATCTCAAGCTATGGAGAAAAAAGAGTACAATGATAGTTTGAGTTAAAGAACTAAAGTAGTTCATGGCAGAATTTTTCTGTTCGAAGGATTTAAATATATCTAACAAAAACTTTTGCTTTTCGTTCATTTCATATTTCTTCTATCCCGTTTTCAAGTAAAATTCTATCCCAAAGTAAGGTAATTCTTCTGCTATACTATTTCTGAAATATCTCAGGGTAATACATTTAATTACACAAAGAATATTAAGTAAAAAAAAAAAAAAAACAGTAAGCGAAATCTTGTTTTGATGTGCCACAATTCAGCATAAATGAGAAAAAAATCTTCACTACGCTCAGTTTTGGCCTCAATTTCTACTTACAAAACAAAAGTTTGTCATCATTTTCCAATCATACACAATGCTGAAATTGTTTTATATCTATAACAACAGACGAATATCAACTGTCTAGAAAAGACAAATATACATGAGAAATAAACTTTTATAATAAGCATGCCCCTTGCTCCTGAACTATCAGATCCAGACTTACCTCCTGGGGTTCATGCTTAGGCACCTTGGGAGGCAGGTAGGTGTACTGCCACCTCATTTCGACCTCAATGACCCCAGCTGGGACTTTTCCCGTACCACGGGTCAGCTGGAAGTCCCCAGACACAGGTTTGTCGTGAGCCAGGGGCAGGAGAGGGATCTCAGCCACACCCAGGTAAGCCTCAACTTCCGGATCCGTGTCATCAAACACATAGATTTGAAGTTTCTGAAAATAACAACCAAGTCAAGTAAGGAAAAAGTAATGTCTATTATCCTCATCTTCAAAGAGTAACAATGTAGAACTGGGTTTTTCTCCAGCGTTATCAAACGTCAGACCTCTTTTGACAAATAGAAAAGTAATGGGTGTGTAAATAGTGAAAACTTATTCACGCATCACAGATCCACATTTTTATGTGACATTGGTTGGCCTATACTGTAAAGCATATTATGTTATTCATACTTTGGTTTACTTTCTATTTTACTGTACAAATAAAAAGCCACATAAAACCTGATTCTTTCAAAGAGCAGCCACATACGTACAGCAGTTCTAAGGTACTGATCCAACTCAAAGGTGACAGGGACACTGTAGATTTTGTGGTCGTTAAACTCTGGGTTGTTGGTGCTTCTCAGGATGATAGTGTCGTGGTCAGGGAAATCCAGTAGCTTGTAGGCACAGTACGGCGATGGCTGCACATCTACATCCGGGGACACAAAAACCAACAGTAAGAAAGTAAGAATTTTATTCGATTTACACTAGAAATTACTATTCACAACTTACGCTCAATATGTTCCGAAGACTGATGGGAAAGAGTACAGGCCTCAAAGACACTACCACGGAAATATCCACACAAAAATATTAAAGATCCTCCCGATGCAAAAAAAAACCCCAAAAAACTTTGTACAAAATGTTTTTTAAAAGTTAATGCTTTAAAAAACACACACACTTTTTTTTCTAAATATATAAACTGAAGCATTACTAGGTTGAGACAATGAGCAAACAATAACGTCTTCATCAACAAAGTGATCCCTAAACGCTCACAGACACAATCCAAATGTGATTTCCAATCATAAAGGCCGCAGATCGACTTCAGCAAAATAAAAATTGTAACCTAAAAAATAAACCTTAGAAAGAATTACTGTTTCCTCCCTGCAGACAACTATCAATGCTTGCAAAAGACAAAGTAGAAAAGTAAGGAAAATTCTATGCCAGAGGTCTAGGAAACACTGTCCTGTAGAGTCATTCACACATACTTTGCCTGCGTGGCTGAAGCTTGGAGCACCTGATGACCTTAATATGCATCTCATTAACATTGTCCGGGGGTCTCTGTGCTGCTGTCTCATCCAGAGCCTCCAAGGCTTGGGTAGCCATACGCTCGTTAGCCATGATGTAGCCCAGAGCCTTGGTGCGTTCCTGCAAAGAAAAAGTCAATGTTTAATGTCTCCTACCTGATGATGAATATCCATACACCCTAGATTTGGTTTAAGTTCATTATCACTTAATTGTACAATCCTTTTTCAATTTCCATTTTTTTTCCTTTTATTAAGAGCTATTATCTTCATATGTGCCTGGTTTGCTTGGCCTGTTATTCTGATAACTGAGAATTAAAAAATTATGAACCAAAGAGATAATTATTCATGTTCTATCACTATCAAAAGCATTAAGGGACAAGGACAATGCGAATATAAATAGCTAATTATATCAAACATAGTTCAAGATTGACTAAACTGAAGTGATATTATAGACTGAAAAAAAGGTCACAAAAAAAAACTATTAACAACGGGCAAATAAAATGAGTAACTTCCACATTCAAAGACATTAAAGCCTAATCAATACCTATAAAAGCAAAAAAATTTAAAGAATAGTTTAATACCTTTTAAGAACTAAAATAGCAAACAGAGAAAAAAAAAAGCAAAAAACATTTCATGGAGCTTCAAATAAAACAGGGTTGTACTTTTTCTAACCTATCAGCTCTCTCCATATCAAACTTACCTTATAAAGCCTCAACGCTTGCTCCATGGGTACTCTGAGGCGTACCCAGTAATCCACAGTACCATAACCAATGCCAGTTTCACCATCAGCAGTACCTGGAATTCAAATATTAGTAAATTTTACTAAATCAATCATCTTTACACATTATTGCAGTAAGTCTCAGGGAAACAAAAGAAATAATGAAGCAGGGGAATTTATACGCCATATATAAGAATCAACGATAGTTAGAGAGTTAAATATAAAATTCAAGATTCTCAAACTCCCATCGTAAAAAAAGTATTAAAGTTAATTGCTACAAACCCAGTCATACAAACAATTGGATAAAGGAAACTATAAAGAAACTGTGTCCCCAAAAATATCGCACAAGCAGTAGAACCACCATGGGATAACAAATTTTACAGAAATGACAACCCCAAGAAAGGCAAGCAACACAGTAACTTACTGTCAGGAAAATAAAGTACTCTTGTTTTACCCATATCTGACCAAAGCTGATCCTTGTGCCATATGCCCCAGTCGTGCCCTTCCTGACTTTTCATCTATGCGTGTTTTTTTTAATTGCTGAAGAACTAAACAATGTCTGGTTAGTGACAGAAGGTCAATGCAAGAAACCCACCTACGGGACAATAGCAGAGGAGAGTCATGTCCCAGCCCACCTCACACCGAAAAGGGACATGTAACTTCCTTACTTTGATAAATAATAATTACAGGCTGGTTGGGGGAAGCCATAAATAAGTCCTACTTTTGTCTTTCTTTTTGTTGTGTCTGTCTGTTTATCTTGCTTTTTCCCTGTATAAAATGACCATTACTATTTCAATCTGTTTCTTTTTACTCAGCCAGAAGGGGCATGTACAAATATATGCTTTGCCATCAAGAGGCTATGCAGCTGTACACTGACAAACGCCTTTTTTTATTCACAGTAGTTTTGTGATAACAGGCGTTTTGTAGGCACATCAATTTTAAAAAGGTGTTCTTCCGAAACTTGAATTCTCATTAATTCAAAAACTAGAAACAGTTCCACTCTGATTTTTTCACACAAGTAGGGTAAATGATCTGACTATCAATAAGGCAAATTAAAAAAATTAGGACCCAAAAAAGAAAAAAGGTCATTTTGTCAGCTTAGAGCAGTATGGCTTTGCCTTTCAACATGTTTTAGTGACAACTTACCGGTAAGAGAGGCAGTGCCATGAATTCGTCCATGAGGTTTATCAAAAATATCCCTGAAGACCAGCTGACATACAGCAATTTTGCTGTAATCTTGTCCAAATGACTGGTACAGTTCGAGTCTGCAAGAATCCTGAGAACACAAAGGCAAAAGTTACAGTAAGCATTATTTTGCACACCTCGACACATTTGATGATGATGAACGGAGCAGAATTCTCATTTCTTCAGAATTAAGAATTATGGTGATCAATCACAAGCAAAACATCAGCACTGAGCCTATTTATCAAATTCTTCTAAATTTACCAAACATTTCACAGCTAAATTATATAGAACTTTCCTGTCCTTATTCTAAGTAAGAACTTTCAGTAGTCCACATATAGGTCAAATTTCAATTCATATCATATTTACCATTTCACCAAGACTAGCACCTAATTTGTTGGTTTCTCCTCTTCTCTAAAAGACAATAACCTGGATACACTAAAAATCTTTACTAATTTTTTCAAGCATTGCTAAAGAGTTGTAAGAAAAAAAACTTGTTTCATTATATAAACCAGCTGCATTTGCCGAATTGCTCATTAATTCATAATTGGTTTCCAAAACCAAGATTCCTGGAGTACAATTATCTTTTACCTTCTGAAGATAGTGCAGGAAGAAATCATCGACTTTGACGATGTATTGTGAGGTGAAGTCAAACATGGGCCTGAAAAAAAAGCAATACTTGGAATTTCTAAAAAGAACAAACTAACAAAGAGAAATCAACTTGTACAACTACACATACAAACTTTACTATATTATCAATAAAATAATCAGTCATTGAGCTACCCTGAATTCCCAACACTTACTTCAGTCTGTCTACATTCTTATACAAACTGTGAGAGCCAGTAAAAACTGAATATATATCTAATGTATTTTTTTATAATGAATAGGACATTTCGGAAAATAAATGTACGCATATCAGTTCATATATTTGATCACAGTACATAAAGGGAAGGATGGTTCCTATTATATTGACAAAATCACGGATTCACAAAATTTTAGAAATTTTAAAATGTTATCTCCTATGAAAATATAAATTCTCCTTCAGAGCCTTCCACAAAAATATTTAAATATCAAAATAAAGAAACAAATCTCCATACAAATGAGTCCGAGTCTCTCACTTAAACTCAAGAAGACAAAAATACATCAAATGAGAACTAAGTTCACAAGGTCAGAATATTAAACATAAGTAAATTACCTAAAGCATTTATTTATAGTCTGAATTAGTAGCTAAATTCTGCAAAAACATTTTCACAATTATTTTTTTTAATGAGAGATGGAACAGACCTAGATCTTGATTTCTTAAACATTCTCACTACCACAAACATAAACTAACAAAAGTCCTCACCTAGAGCCCCTCACTACTGGTGTAGATAGACTCTCAAACTCAAAGAAGTCCCACATACAGAAGAGAGACGGCTCCTCATCTCCAATGACTCTCAGTGCATCCTTAGACAGTGACACCTGGAGGGCAAAAAGAGCATAATCATTTCACCGTCAAAAAGACTTCAAAATATAAAAATTATAGCACCTTTCTATAAAATCAGAGCACTGTGTAAAAATGTTCTCATTGCTGTATGAGACGCTACTTTTTACGCTACATATGACGATTGATTTTGAAACGACTGATGTTGAGGCAACAAAAGTATCCTATCCCTCATACCCAGTTGCTGAGTCAAATCTACATGCAACCAAGGGAAAGCCTGGGGAAGGTATTCTTTTTCTTTCTTTTCCACAAGACCAGGAGATTCTAGTATTATGCCCCCATAGAATCAAGTGTTTTGCCTTCAAATTTAAACATATTTGGCACAAAACAAGTCAGTGCATTTTCATACCATAAAATAATGTTCACACCCCACCCCAAAACATATTTTCAGGTCAACACAAGACCATAAAAACAGTAATAAAAAAGTTTCCTTGAAGTATCCAAACTGCTACTGATAACTTTACCTTGTCAATATGAACTTCAAAAAGATTCTGTCCTCGTTCAAGGCTGATGGTCTCATCAAGATCAGCAGTGGAATCAAGCTGAGAAGACAGAAACAAAAAACAGCTTATATTCTCTTTCACAAATTGACAAACAAATTACACAGTACACCAGATGAACAATATTATTTTCAAAAGTGAGTACCAACTATTAAAAAGAGAATTTTTCACCACTGGTTGCAACGCTTTCCAGATAGATACACTCAAAATTAATTTAAACGCAAGCAGTTGTCTGAATGAAATACACAGCACTATCACTACAGAACAAGTTTGCATTTCTTTAAACAAATCTCAGCTGGACATTCTGACATACAAGCCTTCCCTACTTGCTTGAGAAAAAACATACAGACTTTATTCAAATTCTGTTACCTCTCTCTGAAAATAAGTCTGTAGAATTTGTTTCCGCGTTAATAAAAATAAATATTTTTGAGAGAGCTCCAACATATTCTTCTGTCAGAGTGTGTGTTTACATGTACATGAAAATGGAAAAACCATGTCCACTATAAAGCATATTTTTCAGATTGCAAATTAATGTTTGCCGCAGACTTGTCATGTTTCCAACAAAGCAATTTAGAGGCTTCACTGTGTAAAGAGGGAAACAAATCACAATGCCCTATATAGGCCTACGTTATACTGCCACATATTTTTCAAATTTTAAATATAATAAAACACAAAGTCAATGAACATCTCACTAACTAAATGAAGAGTGTGATGTTTACTCACATCATCATCAGGAGGAGGTAGTCGATACTGCCTTGTGCCATAAGCAACATCCCGCAATTGAGTTTCCAATTTCTAGAAGGGAATTGATAAAAACAACCAAACCAATGAATTGAGTATAAACACCATACATCTTAAAGACAATAGTAAAATATTTGAGAAATGAATAGCTCTGGCATGTTCGTGAAATTGTTCTGTATTGGTGAAATATTGTGTATTCATGTATGTATGTATTTATTATTATGTATTTATGTATGTATGTTTTCCATTGTAACCTAAATTGACCTACAGGGATCAATAAAATGTCATTTAATTTAATTTTTCATGAATTCCCAGATAAATAACAGATTTCATAATTCAATGAAAAAGTCAAACATTAGCCACCCAATCTAAGAGTGTGCATATTGCTGTCTCCTTTGCTATGAATTTTCTACCTTGATCCTTGCAGCGCGAATATCCAACAGCCTCGCATACTCATCCAGTTTCATCTCATACTCTCTCTTGACTTCATCCAATTTGCCTGTGGCAAGGTTGACCTGTCAGGAAAAGTATGTTTACACTGGAGTGATGTGTTGTGACACGATAAAATCAGGCGCTCGTCGATGTTTAGGCACATAGAGTTATTAATATCATCTTAAAGCTTGTTCATTTGTCTTGCATATGGTGAAAAAAATACCCATCTACCCAAAACAAAAGTCAAGATATTTGAGATTGAGGGAGATGGGGGTTGCCTTGTGTGAGAAGTAAAATTAGCAAGAAAATGGCTACTAAAGTTTGGTGAATTCCAAAGTTTGGGTGTCCTTGGAAACTGGAAATTAACTTTTATTTCCTTTACTGAACATTTTTCTGTAACAAAAAGGACATAAGAGGTATTGAGCCAAAAAAGAACATTCAGAAAAAATCGCCCAATGACTAGAAAAATGCCACTTTCTTTTGATTTCATTGTTTTGATGAGCACTTTAATTCACCATGCTGCCTCACATATTATAAAATATGGGTTTGTTAAACTCTCTAAAAAATTAACTCATTCATAAGAGGCGGAGACGGCTTTTGAAAACTTGAGAAAATTCAATCATCTCAAGTCTACACATCAAAGGCCCTCTCAAATAGCTTTATTTGAAGAAAAAGATTTCAAGATTCCATTCCCTATTACCTCAATTTCTTCAATTCTTTATGGTTTATAGTGATGTACATCAGCTTACTTCAGAGACTTTCAGGTCATTACAGATTTACAGAATTACTCTTCATATACTAAACCCAACATAACTCATGATAGTGTCTTCCACACGGAGATTACACCCGGCTACAAAGAAGATTTTAATGAGCTCAAACCCCTGGATAGATTCCATTAAACACAGTGACTGCCACCACAACAGACAAATTTCCAATCTGAAAGAGGAGATCTATGCTGAAGTGTTTCATTATACATAACATCATTCTGTATCCAATTTTCTTGTGCTTCAGCTATGCAGATATGTGAAAAATGTCTGAAAGAAAACTCTACAAACTTTTCGCGTTTAGAGATATGGTGGTTATTTACTAATTTTTTAAAAACTTTTCTTTCAATTTGTCACTAAAAACAGATGCCCGTAAATTATTTTTTTAGGGGGGGGGGGGGGGAAGCGTGTTACACCAAGGTGTTCATGTATCAGCATTCATGCTCAGAAACAGCACCATGCTCCATACCTCAGTTTGGTAGTCCTTGTTGATCTTGTGCTGAACTACAAGCATGTTGCGAGTCTTCTCAAGCTCATGAACTGTCTCCGCATACTCAGCCTGTAGCTCCACCAGGGCTTTTCTGTGATCTAGAGGAATATATCGATGGTGTAACACTCTAAGCTTGTAACTGGTTTCATGAAGTATTTTGAACACACAAAAAAGCCTTCGCATTTAAATGAGATTCACTATCTATAATGCATGCTAACTTCTTATCTTTATTGACGACCCACACACCGACCTCCACAATAGTTTTAGGACAAAAAAGAGTTGACCTATTTCTCCCAGTTACATGGTTACAGTATGACACCATCAGTATACATTAACATACACACCATGGTATTTGAAATAAATTTGATGAGGGAAAGCTTGAGTTATGCTGTCTAGTCAACTCACATTGCAGGGTTGAGGAGAGGAGTAATTATGAAATTGATAGTTGTGGAACCTCACCAGCCCATAACTCAGAAAACGACAGTTCTAACACACCAAACCAATAGAAGATGACAAGCACTCATACTCCCATTTCTCTTTGTGATAACGTCACTGTTTCACATATAATCATTATACAGAATGACTGAAATCATATGTTCTCACATTCAAATCATACTGAGGGATAAAGAAAAATTAACAAGCTAACAAGTTGGTTACTCATTCTCAGACACTCAGTACAAACAGTTTCTGTTTTAACACCTGACCATTGCTATGATTAATAATTAGAGTGAGACAAAGCGAAATCATTTCACAGGCATGAAAATCACAATTTAAATACAAACAAAGACAAATACCAACTAACACTAAACTATAGGCAAATACACATACTCACAACTAGATAGCAAGTGTCTGATGAATCTATTGTTACAAATTCAGCAGACACCCTTGCTATCGGAGGAAGTCAACAAAAGGCTCAAGAGTTACCTTTGCTGAGTTCGTCGTCCACAGCCTGTAGGAAATCTGGAGGAGCCTGCTCACGCTGCTTCTTCTGTTTGATCAGCACCAGGGCTTCCTCAATCTCTGTGAAGTCCACCTCACTCTCCTGTGAATTGTACATGGTTCGGATTCCAAATATTTTGCAATATTCCTTCCATAGCTAACAGCAAAAACATTAGAATTATGCTACCTTGGATTAGCTCAGCTGTTCATAATAATCTTTTATCTTAAGAGGTCTCAACATGCATTTTAAAAAACACTGTTTATTATTCATGCTTATATTCCATTTCCTTTTGTACATTGGTCATTAACCAACATCATGTTAGTTCAAGTTATGGGCTTATCTCAAATCAGAGGGAGTATCTGAGGTTTTTTGCAAGCTGGTAAATTTAATTTCATCAAACTTTGACTACGGCATATTTTTCTGTTATTATAATTTATTTGGGCGACCACCACGAATGAACAAACAACATTTACATTAAATTAAATTCACAGTCTGTGAGTCTTTTGAGTTATTGTACTATCATTTACATTCCCAAGATATAATACTGACTTACAATAAAAGTCAAAGGCTGCCTATCTATTCTTCAGAATTGAAAATTCAGTCCTGATTTTCTCCGTTATTTTCATGATCACCTTCCTCACCCACATGCAAAGATCATTGCACAACACTGTTATTTGATGCATTTCTAGCATACACACACACCAGAATAATCACAGGTCATTGTTTTTATAGAACAAAACAAACCTTTGTAAAGAACTTCATTTTCTCATTGAGGTCATCCATCTGCTCTTTCAAACTGTAGTACTCAATTTTCAGTTCTCTGTTCTCTGTTTGCAGTTTCTCATGAGCATCTGAAACCATATTAGAAAAAAAAGTATGAGAATCAGAACCTGGACGATATGTGGATGACAAATGCTCCAAAATATTCCCATCTCAATCAGGACGTGCAGAAACTCATCTCTAATAGTACGTGATTTGGAACTTATTTATTGGATGTTGGAAATATTCTGTATTACACTATTGAGAGACAGTATCAAAATGTTGCTGGAACTAAAAACATAAAAAGTCAAAGTAAAGCAAAATTTTAAAAAGCCACAATAAACACTTTCAAGAAAACAGACACATATTAACACAGTATAAAGAGAATGATGCCTAGTAATGTCTGTTTCAGATATGGCACCCGAAGGAGAAGATACAATAAACCAAAGAGGAGATAATTCTTCACAGAAAGGGACAAAAGAAAGACAGCAGGCACTCAGGGTTGGTGATTTTTTTGATTTTTTAAATAAAAATTTAAAAAATCGATTTTAAAAATTTAAATCAGATTTTTTAAATTTAAATCGGATTTTTTTGATTTTTTTGATTTTTTTGAAAATGTCGACACAGTTTGGGATTTTTGGAGGCTAAAAGTAAGTTCTTTTAGTGCAAAATGCATTGTCTTTATTTTAACTAATGATTAATTTAAGCAACTGCAATTTTAGAAAGCCTTAATCTGCTATATCAGTGAGTTATGGCTGCAAACAAAAAATGAAGAAAATGTCAGTCTAAAAGGAAGGGGGGGGGGGGTAATTATGCATAGATAAACTTGCATTTTATTACAGTGTGTGTGTGTGCGCGTGCTTGTGTTTGTCTAAAAAGAAAAAGAAAATGCTAATTTCAATTATGAAAAAAAAGTAAATTGAATACAGTATTATTTTACTACTTACAGCGACAGGGGGGGAAGCAGACTTTTAAGCATGATTATATTAGTCTACTAAACCTTTTATCTGTTTTATAAAACCAAGGAAAGGAATTCTGAATGTTTAAAGATGTAAAAACAGAATACATTTTTTAAAAGTGATTTAAATCACTGAGTTCTATTTCTAAAATCAAGTTGATTTAAATAAAAAAAATCAACTGATTTAAATCAACCCAACCCTGGTTTTCAATTATGAAAAAAAGTAAATTGAGAACTGTATTATTTTACAGCGACTGGGGGGAAAAAAGACTTTTAAGCATGATTATATTAGTCTACTAAACCTTATATCGTTTAATAAAACCAAGGAAAGGAATTCTGAATGTTTAAATATGTAAAAACTGAATACATTTTTAAAAAAAGTGATTTAAATCATTGATTTTTATTTTAAAAATCAAGTTGATTAAAATAAAAAAAATCAACTGATTTAAATCAACCCAGCTCTGATTTCAATTATGGGAAAAAAAGTAAATTGAAGACTGTATTATTTTACAGTGAAAGGGGGGAAAGCAGACTTTTAAGCATGATTATATTAGTCTACTAAACCTTATATGTGTTTTATGAAACCAAGGAAAGGAATTCTGAATGTAGAAATGTGTAAAAACTGAATAAAAATAAATTTTTTTAAAAGTGATTTAAATCACTGATTTTTATTTAAAAAATCAAGTTGATTTAAATTTTAAAAATCAACTGATTTAAATCAACTTGATTTAAATCAACCCAACCCTGCAGGCACTCCTCCCATATGGCTGAGCTGCAAGACGCCTAAGTTCTCCACTTTAAAATTAAGTTCCTCTAGAGGACATTCAGGACATGTCAGCCAGATGGAGGAAAGTTGCAACCCCTTCACCCCTCCCCCACCTATTAAACCAAAAGAAAAAAAAAATGAAAGCAGGGAATAAAAAACAACCCAAAAATTGCACAAATTTGACACAGCCATACAACAGCACTTTCAAATCACCTCTCTCTTGAGCATATCTGTCTATGATGCTGCCCTTCTCCCCGAGGTCAGACTTCATTGTTGCCTCCAGCTGTGCTATCTGTACTTTCAGCGCATTCTCTTTTTGACGCCACTCCCGCTCTCGCTCCAGGTCAAAGGCACTGTCAACCACCACATGAAAAGAAAAGAAATAGGAATAACAAATGTGCAAATGTAAACAATTAACGCTTGTAAATTAAATTCAATTTTTATGTTATATTTTGAAGTAAGCATTAGAGTGAACAATACAGAAAACTACTAAATACAGAGTTCGTATATAAAAATGGTTAAGAGAGCTAATGTGGGCTTGTGACTCCTCACTCAAAATCCATTTGTTCTTGCTAACTCATTCTTTTGGTTGTTCAGAACAATGATGTACAAAATACAAGTATCAGGGAATTACAGAATTACACGAGATAAAGGTGAAAAAAAGATGCTTCAATCATTATCAGTTTTTTTTCTAAAAAGTGACCTCAACAAACCATTAACATTTTTATGAACAAACATAACATCTTTCTTTAAAAAATAATCATCTTGTTCTATTCACATTCTCTTCATGCTTTTTAATAACAACAAGGAATGAATGATGTAACTACTATCCATCCTTCTCATATGAAATTTCAAACAAGGAAAGGTGCATACCAACACCATAATCAAAACACAAACAACAGGACAACACCACACAGTACCTTCCCACCAGGTTCTCATTGGCCTCCTTCAGCACAGCACACTCTTTCTCGAGGTCTGAGATCTGTTCTTGGAGCTAAAAGAAAAACAGTTTATATTCCTTTTCAGTTGCAATACTTCTTTTCTAAAAATAAAATATATATACAAAAGTACAAACGGGCTACAAAAAAAATCCTGAGCCTTTTAGCTTGATAATGTGTAATGCTACAAAAGAATACTACATTATATGCCTGTTTTGAAAGCTTAGGCTCCAGATAATTTTTCAGGCTTTTTATCCAAACTTCCTATGATTATATCAATGGACTTTAATTGTCACTCTTCAAAGTGCCTGATGATCCATGAAAAAAACCCTTGAATGTCAAGCACAAAAATAAAATTGGGAGTTAGACAACACCATTATTTTACAATGTCCAATTAATTTATTTCACCTTTTCCCTATTCCAAAAGCTCTAGCAGAAGAAAAAAGTTATTTGTAACCGATACAACAGCTTTGATTGTCCATTAAGTCGGGGGGGGGGGAATCCTTCCTCACTGTGTATATATACTTGGATAACTAACTCTCAAGTATCTACAATTTCAAAACAGAAATAACAAACCCTAAAACTAACCTCCATGGCTTTCTTCTGAGATGTTCCCGCCATCTTGAGCTCATTTTGAAGGCTGAGGTTCCTGTTTTGCTCTTCCTGGAACTGCAGGTTGAGATGCTCCATCTCCCGCAAGATCTGATCGTGGCTCTGCTTCACAGCTCGACTACTCTGTACACATACAAAGGCCATCACAAACTTCAGTTATCTCATACTTATACTTCTCAAAGTGAGGTTGGTGATAAAATTTCAAAAATGGGGGGAAGGATGTTTATAAATAGAACCATTCCTTGGTTAAAATTTGAATTTCAGTCAGTTGGGGGGGGGGGGGGGGGGGGGGGGGGGAGATCTCCATATTATTCTACTAAAACGCTGAAACACACAATTAATTCCCAAGGAAATTTGCAGGCAAGAAACTTTGCAGTGCCCATAAAATGAGTTAAATCTATTAATTTTATTTAAACAAGCTTACTTTTTTCCCGTCTTCTCTTAACATTTCAACAAATGCTTTCTTTCTCTTTTAATATCACCATTTTTTTATAATAGTATTTTTCATGCAAAACAAAAAAGAGAAAATTCAAAATCATTTTACCAGTACATGCCTCATTTCTAAATTTCATTGGTAATAATGCATTAAAAATAGGTGAATGTTGCTCAAACCTCTTCCATGTGTTGATATCTGTCCTGCAGGGCAATCAGCATGGTGGACTTCTCTTTCACATCTCGCTGCAGTTTAATCATATCAATATTTTCTTGAAGATTGACTCTGAAACAACAATTGAAAAACAAAATTGTTTCATCAATTCAACTTCCAGGCATGACACCACATGTGGTTATTTGTAATTTTTTATGCTAAAAGCCATGCAAAAGCTAAAAAAACCCATTGCACTCATTGTGTCAACCAACACAGCTCACAAAATCCGCAAGAAAAGGAGAGCCTTCATAATGCTTTTCTTTAATTGACAAATACTGCAAAGATAGTTTAACAGTCTAAGCATGAAGGACAATAATCCTTTTCATTGCTATATGTACTACTCTTGTAAAGCCATCCCTCATCATAATAAGTAAGAAAAATAGCAAGTGTAAATATACAATAAACATTACTACATGATCCATTCTCACTGAATGAGGGCATTGTTAACATCATAGCCCATTTTTTAAAACTTCATTTTTACCAAAGTTCCAAATAATGAATGCATTATATCTATATTTTTGAAATTGCTTGGGTTTCAGAAAAAGTGGCATGCCAAGGCGCAATAATACCCTAATTTAAAGAACAATTTCATCTACTTTTTCAATATCAATCTTAAGTCCTGATTTCAGAAATGTGTTTAAAGCTCAGAATTAAAGTAAAACAATTTTTTTTCAGTTTTAGTAAGAGTTTTACGGCACTTGCAAGACAATAATGTCATACAAGTGCCGAAGATTAGAGGTGTCACAAGAGAGTAACAAACACAAAAAAGGAGGGGAGATAAGGACATTACAGTTCTGACAGGAAAGAAGAAGCAAACCACGCCAGAGCACCCGCCAACCACCCAACCACTATTTTTTTAATCATGACAAAATGCAGACAATCTACAAAACAACCAAACCTACTTTTGTTCCGATGTGATTTGTTGTTTAATCTTAAGTATGTCCTCTTCATATTCAGACTCTTTGAGTTTAAGCTGCTCTTTCAGTTCTTCTATCTGCATCTCATACATCTGGTTCTGTTCTCTCATTGAAGCCAAATAGTCTTCCCTGGGGAAAATCATTTTTTTTTCCAAATGTGCAAAATTCTATATATGCAACAATAAAATCGCATGTGTATTCAAACTACAAAGGAAATAACTAATTAAGACGAAAGGTCACTTCCATCCAAATGACTAAAACAGGTGGTCAAAATGAGAGTAAACTAACCAGCAACCATATCTCTTAGCATTAACACAAATAGACAGTAATTTCTTCGATACTAAAAAAAGTACACTGTAAATCTTAATTTCCAGAAGTATCATTTTTTTTAAAAATACCAGTAATAATACAAAATAAAGAAATGGCAGGAAGTAGGACCACATGATCAATGGTATTAACATTAGTATAACCACTTGAACATAAGTCGAGATATCCCTTACACGTCCAAAATACACTGGCATCAATTTCGTCACAAATATCTACAATATATATTTTTACACCTATTATGGTTGCTTTTGACTTTTTCAATAAGTTCATTCTATTTATAACTCCTCCTGTTTGAAAAATATAAATTGTTCTGGGGAGATATATATAATAAATTCTGTCCACATAATTAAATCTAACATCCCCTTTACAAATACAAAATCTATGGTAACACTTGAGCATTTCATTGCTTGCACAGCAGCAGTACTCACAATTTGCTTTTCTCAGCCCGAGTTGCTTCCAAAACACTGTGCCCATAGCGTGGTCCTGAAGACCTGATGGGAAAACAGAAAATTTCCATTATTGTTTGAAGTTCACATCTCAGAGATAATTATTAGCATATTATAGAAGCAAAATGAACAGATAAAAAACAATTGGTGATATATGAAGGCTAAAAACATATTTCCTGTATTGTGCTTCAAAGTGTAGGTGCAGAAAAGTTAAATATAAAAAAACACATTTAAACAGTTTTAACCTTACTCTTCTTGTATTTTGTACATAGGTCAGGAGAGTTACAATTCTTAAAAGGAAACACATTACAAAGCTCATTTGAACAATCAAATCCCGCCTTATTCCACGCTGATACCTGATTCTGTGAGCACACCACCAAGGGAGCCGGCTACAGATCATAATTCATAAAACGTATTCAAATAAAATGCCTCATTTTTATAACAATGATGCACATCAAAATCTGACTATAAACAGAATAATTTAGAAAAAATAAAGCATACATATCTTTAACAAGGCTAGTAAACTTTTATGAGTGTCATAGGTATAAAAGCAGAACCTTACACAATGATGAAATTCCACTGATTGATAATTGTACTTTATTAAGATGAAGGGTTCAAATGTCATCCTTCCCAAAATCATTCATATATGACAGTTCTTTGAATAATGACTGTCATATTTCATCTGACTTCTAATAACCAGAAAAGAATGGCCATTTTAGCCAAAACTGGTGTATTCTAGTAACTAGCTTAATTTTATCAAAACTCGATTATTGTAACTCCTTGTTATCAGGAATATCACTGGAGAAAGTTAAAAGACTTCAAACTGTCCAAAACAATGCAGCACGTTTAGTTTTACGGAAAAGAAAGCGAGATTCTGCTAAACCTCTTTTACGAACTTTGCATTGGCTTCCTGTTGAGAAAAGGATTGTGTACAAGTTGGCCACCATATGTCACAAATGTTTGAATGATAATGCACCATCATATTTATCAAATCTGTTAAGACTATACATTCCAACTCGCAGTTTAAGATCATCAGCTGACAAAAAAGAAATTTATTTTACCATCTATGAAACTTAAAACAATGGGTGAAAGGGCATTTGAATACCAAGGCCCCAAGATCTGGAATGCTTTACCAAGTACGTTGAGAGAAATCAAATCTTTTGATTCATTCAAATGTCAGCTGAAGTCGTTTCTGTTTTTAAATTAATAAGATGAATATTTGGAATAATTTTCTTTAGTCAGAACACAACGTTTCATGTTACTGTTGTATGTTGTACTGTATTGTAAAGCGCTCAGAGCCTGTGTACTTTATTCGGGGTTGAGCGCTATATAAATGTCATTTATTATTATTATTATTATTCCAGTCAGGCAACTCACTGATTGTTGGATACTTTCTGGCATGTTGCAAACGGACATTTTCCATAATTGTGTCACCACAACAAGAAATTCTTACCACAGTCAACTAAAGTAAAGGACATGTCAAAATTTGGTATGTGCTGAACACAACAAAAATGTTAAAACCAACCACACAGATAATCTTACATATTTGTAGTGAGCTGCGATTCTGACTGCTGTGGCTGTGGACCCATGACCCGTAAATTTCTGGTAATCCGAGGGTCAATTTGAACTGCACTTTGTGAAAGCTTACTAGCTGGGCGATTCTGAAACAAAGCACAAAACTTGCAGCTTTAACTTGAATGCTTTAAAACTGTAACAAATATAAGAAGATACCCAAAAGAGCATCTATCCACAAAAGATGACAGAAGCACATTAACAGTGTTCCTGAGCACAACTTGTCTCACTATAATAGTATAGCTACTGCCAAGACCTTTAGGTGTTCTTCTAATGAGAAAAACAAACGCCAGTCAAATCTAGTTTAAGAATACTTCATTTTTTATCAAAACTATACATAGCATAGCTGCAACACCACTTTCATATTAATTATGATAATACTACAAACAAGTTAATTATAATTGCAGCAAAACAGTAAAACAAATTTGTCCATACTTAATACAAATATTCCTGGAAAACAAAAATCACAAAGGATGCTTGATTCATGTTATGTAAAACATACAGCAGCATATATTTTTAAATAAGGGTGTTTTCCGAACATAAAATGTGAAGTATTTTTCTTTTTCTGCTATTTATGGCAGTTAAAAAAATCAGTATTAGCACTTGTACAGAGCTATTATCAAAGGACCACAATGTCTGTATTTTAACTTACTGTGTTTATCCTTGCTTGAACATGGTGATATGTTGTACCACGTTTTGGCCCTACAGATGACAACTGCTGTTTTGTCAGCATCAACTGTTAAACAAAAAAAGGCAAAAATTAATGTAAACTCCATTCAAGTTCAATACAGACAATATTTTTTTTAGATTACTCATAAAGAATTCTTGCTGTATTTTGAAGACAGCTGAGAGCACTTGTTTCTGTATTTAATTTACTACAAAGACACACCGGAAAACATACTCTGTCTAACCTGAAACTCAGTTCTAATCAAAATGATACGGTCAAAATAATAGTTTCATAAAAAGTATCTATTTTGTCTTCCATAATTCAACAAAGAAAAAGATGTTTGTATGAGGTAGAATCATACATTGAGATGTCAAGTGAACAAAAACAAACTTGAATGTCTATGTGTTCTTTAAATATGTGTGTCAAATGCAAAGTTGGATGTACTGTTATTTAAAAAAACACCTAAATCCAAGACATATGAAAGTTCAAATGAACAGAGGAAAAAGGGCAAAATGGACTATAAAAAGCAGCAATAAAGAACAAAAAGTACAAAGTACATATGCAAAGGTTTCATCTTGAAACAGTCAGTATCCTGTGACCATTAAAAAAGGAACCATGATATTTGGAAGCAATACAGAAAAAAACTATTTGATTCTCTGTATTGTCAAACCCATTTAACTCACTTTTTCTCTCAGCTGACCATTTTGCTTTTCCAGTTCTCGGATTTTAGCACTCATTTCTTCAACTCTGTCTTCACTTGCAGCAGCAGCACTTTTACCACCTTTGCCTGCAACATTTTATAAACTATTATGTGCAAAGAAAAACAAAACTGTTTCATCACAAGCTTAAATAGCAGTGTCCCACTTTTGTGTCCAAATGCACACTCTCAAGAAGGCAATTCACACATCCCAGTTCACTTTTACATTGAGAAAGCAGGATAAGAATTGCATACATACTTACCATATTCAGTCTGAAACTCAACTACCAAATTCTTTATACTGCAATTGTAATATATAGTTTGGCAGAGCACTACATATGAGGGGGTATGATGCAAAACCCGCTAGCGACATTTTGGAAAAAATCTAGATTTTTTGCTTATTAATGCACATTGTTACCAGTTATCAGATGCACAAAGTGTTTTCGGCCACAACCCAACACATGCTTTATAAAAGCCACCAAAAAATCTATCTTCTTTTTACGTATTTTCCTGCGTTTAGCAGCATCCAAAAAAAAAGCTGATTTTCTCAAAAGTGATAAAATGGATGTAGCCAGTTTTGCATGTCAGCCCCTTATATGTATATATGTATGTATGTAACACCATTCCCCTGCTTAATAAACTTAGATATTCCAAAGACACTCCTGTAGCAACTGTTTTCCCCTTCTCAATACAAAAACTTGACAGGCAAAGGCACACTCTGTTGGTCTATCTAATGGCCATTAATTCTTATTCTTCACAAACTAAAATAACAAAATTGAAAACCAATTCATCTGTAAGAGTAGACAGCATTTTATTATGTAAATTCTGCTGCTATGCTGTCCTTAGGCCTACTGAAAGTAGTCCTGACTGGAATATACAAGAAAGCAACATCATTCAAAGATGTTGCATGCCAAAAACAATACATCCAAACCTTCAAGAACACAGGGACTGCTTATGTCTTACACAAAGGCAGTAGCAACATCTTTGATAACTAAAGATTTTGGACAGCCCTTCACAAAAGTTAGACCTCAAGTTAAACTACGCTTACAGTAAAATGACCTCTATAAAAATGAACATTGAGCAATGAAAGTGGCGGATGAGATTGAAAAAAAATAAATAAATACCTTCTTCCATTTTCTTCTTATCATTAACAAGCTTGAGAAGTTTCGTCGCCATTCTGTAAAATACAATAAGCCAAATTTATGTGTTTCATAATAATAATAATGAAGATCATTTCTATAGCGCCTACTCCCGTGTAAACACAGCCTTAGGCGCTTTACATAAATGCATGTACGAACAATATTCACGCATGTGACACACACATGCATACACACACACACTCATACACATACACACACACACTAACACACACAAACACACACATACTCACGCACCTATTACACGCACACATGTGCACACACGTGCACGCCAAACATACACACACACACACACACACACACATCTACTTGCTTTTCACACGCGCACGCTTACACATCATTACGAAATGAGCACATATATAATAAAATAATATACACAATGCAATTTGCAAAATACATAAATGGATATATAGTCATTTACATAACTTTGTACTAAACATGAATCTACTGACATAAAAATGATGTCATTAAATGTGCCTTTAAAATTTTTTAAAATTTAGACTCAGAATACTCAGATATTGTATGTCTCAAGGGTTGGGGAAGAAATTTCCAAACTGATGGAACAAGGTGGGCAAATGATCTTCCAGCTCATTTTGTACCCCCTTTTCTAGAAACTCTTTCATGTCATTTTTAGAGATAAAAACTAAAACTAAACAGCAGCACCTCTGACTGCAACATTCTAAAGAAAAGGACTGTTTACATACTGTTATTTTTACCCTGATAGGCCTACCCATTACATCTGTTTTCCAACTAAATAGCCTATATATCCTGTTGATGTATGTCCTGACATTGACAGAAGCCACAGCCAACAAATGAGTCTAGACGTAAAGTTCTACTACAAGTAGACCGGACAGTTACATTATTTACAAACAAAACAACAGCAGCCTCATTACATACTTTTTAATCTTGTCTTCCTGCTTCCGAGCATATTTCTTGAGGATAATGTACTCCTCATACATGCGCAGATATTTATCCTCCAATTCATCACGAGAAAATTTTGCAGCATGCTGACGCTGCTGTGCCGCTGTTAAACACAAATACAAAATGCAAAAAGTGAATGAAACGTTAATCAAAATGTAAAATACTTCTTCAGAAACACCAGGAATGGTAAGTATACAAGAAAATCAATGAGGTTTTTTTTTTGGTAAGTGTTTTACGTCATTCGCAAGTGCCTAAGGTCATATGAGCGCAGGGGACACAGCAAACATTTTTCAGCAGGTAGTAAATTTTGAATTTTGCCCGGGTGGCGGCCGAAGCCTACTTTCATCAATTTTGGACCACCAAGCGATCTTTAATGTGCGCAACTTGCACACGAGACCTCTGAGTTTTTCGCCCTTATCCAAGAGGTCCAGGTGTAGATCTTTCCTACCATAAGATTAGGGGTGTGGCTGAAAGACGTGTAAGTAGGAGGGAGCCACAGAGTAGCAGTAGAAAGGCTGCAGAAAGAGTCAGGAGCCCAGAGGAAAGGGGGAAAAGAGGTGAGGGGCTGATAGCAAAAAGTGGAGGCGAAAGCAGACGACAGAACATTGTTAGAGAGCAGGAAAGGAAGTGAAAAGAGACAACTTTAGAGAAGAAAAATTTCCGTCGCTATCCGGATTCAAATCCGGGACCTAGTGAATTAGAGGTGAACACTTTAACCTCTAGGTCACGAGAACCCCCAAAATCACTGTTTTCATTGATTCAACCATAATTATTATAAAATATGACGGTAATAAGTCTTCATACATACCTTCACTGGTCAGATGTTTGATGGCATTGTTGCTGACATCCCTTGTCGGAATGTTGTCATCCGCCATTTTGGTAAATTCGACCAAACCAAACTGCAAAAATGAAAAAAACAAACCAGTGAAGTGAGACTATATAAAAAGATAGATTTATATTTATAAGAAAGCATATCATATAACAGCACATTCTGAGAAATTTCAGCTACTGTGTTGAAGCTAAAACCCTAATAACACAAACTATACAGGATCTGAGAATTTTTTTTTAGCAATCTGCATGTCCAGCAGGGTGATAATGCAAAAGAACAAAAAAGAGGAAGCATTTCTAACTTCAGATACTATGCCTTGTGTTACTTTTAGTCATTAATAATTAATAACACCAGCAAAGCTGCCAACTTTTGAAAACTGAAAAAAATTACGCCTTCATTGCACAGTGTAGAATGAAGTTCCTTGCATTGTCAAGCAAAACAAAGCCACGCTCTCCCCATCCACAGCACTTGGGAAGTGCTATCAAACTCGATGGGAAGTCTTAGTGTATTGAATGCCTGTTGTGTGACATGTATTGACAACAGTTGGCTACTGTGAGTGAAGAAAAGAAAAGGGGAGTCAGCCAGGAGGAATGATGAAATGGCTCTACATTCCTGTCTTCACCAGATCTGCTGGAATTTTTTAAACTCTTAATACAAGTTGCAATGCACAGAATAGGGAAACATACCATATATTTGAAATGCTTTAATTCGTGTTAATGAGAATTCCATGTCAAATGGCTTTGTGTTAAAAGACTTAATAGTTTAATAGTTAACTAATTTGAAAACAGAAAAAAAGAAGAGATGTACGTGTAACTCGGCTGTCCTTGCTATACTTCCAGTAATATCTCTTATGATTGCTGTTGTTACTGTTAGTATTTGTGTGTACAATATTTTTCTCACACAGACCTCTATGGCACTATCTAAAATGTACCTGAGAGAAATAAAAGACATCCTGAAATAAATTGTTTTAAACTGATTCCGCTCGGAGCAACGACTCAGTCGTCGCTGGCCGAAAGTGGTTTCCATGGAGGAATGACTCAGTCGTCGTTTTTTATACGGTTTTATTAAAAACGGTAGGCCTACCTACTGCTATTATTGGCAATTTTTTGCGACTTCCGAATGTATTTGTTTCAAGAACAGAAGCTTTAAAAAGAGAATTTTGCGTGTGTCTTTTTAGTCTGAAGTGTCAATATTGAAATAAGTGAGACTGTTTGTTTTCACAGTCAACCATGGCCTATGGCAAAGATCCATGTAAAACGAAATCCCCGAAGACTGATCAAGATGAAGAAAACAAACCATTCCCATCTGAAGTCCTAATCGAAAGTAGCCGCATTGTTGTTGGTTTGTATTTTGTTTGTTATTTTTATTTTGTTGCTGATTTTGCGCCTGGGTGACAATACGAAATGTATAAGACGAGGAAAACCGCGAGTGCCATGTTAAAACTGACACATGGGTTGCCACCACTCGGAGAACAAGCGACGCTTCTGTCGCAAGCTCATGTTGACGTCCATTGTTACTTTGTTACAGACTGGGTAAACAGTGACCACTGATCTCACTTATGGGTTATGAGGGATTACACGCTAACCTCACCTGCAGCTGAAAATTGGTACCTATTGGTCAACAGTGGGAGGGGCCTACGTAACATGATCGGTTCGAGGGACTACCTAACAACAACTAAAAGTGATTGGATTATGACGGCTGGATCACAACGCCAGGGGTCAATGCATGATTTATGACAAAATGTAATGGAGCCACTAAGGTGGCCGTCTAAGACAGGTGTTATTGCTTAGTGCGATAGGGGTTCTGTGTTAAAATATGGTGGCCGCGGCCGCGTTGGACAGGTGCCCGTTTTACACAGTAAAATTATCTACAGAAAAAACGCAAGGGAGGAAATGGAAAGTGGCCATTTGTACAGGTGGCCGTCAGGGCAGGTTCGACTGTATTACTATCAGGTGATTTACATAAACATTTCTATAGAGAATCAGCTGGTATTTCACGGAAAATGGTAACAGTAAGCTGGGTGAAACTCATCCAACTAGCCATTTCATTATTTTTCAGTTATTACCTCCCTTTATTGTGTTATTGCTCTTATTTAATTACATAAATAACAATCAACTCATCTATTGCGATAGCTCATTCAATTACCTTTCCAGTTGTATTAATATAATATTTTCAATGAAAAAATATGGCGGCAGAATCAATTTGAACGAGAAGGTACCCTATTATTGTAATAGGGGCTCTGAAGAAATTAATGCTGGCGTAATGGGTGAGTTAGTGAAAAATAATTCTGGGCGTGAAGAGTTAAGGATATAAAAATACATTTATAACATTGACTTGTAATGATACACACCAAGTTTTACCACGCTGAAGCCTGTCAGATACGAATTGAGTTTGGACTCAGACTCAAACACTTAAGCCCCGGTTACAAGCAATATTGTACAACAACTGGATGATCTAGCGATCATATAAATCATTAGGTAGGTATAACACAAAATTGTACAAAATTTGGATGATTGGACGATGGCTTGGAGAATCGGTCGAGAAATCAAGTGTTGCCTGATATTTTCGTGTGATCACGTATCAGATTTGGGGGAGACGTGCTGTGACATTGTCATTGAATCACTTTTAAATTTGCTGCGGTGCAGGATTAAACATGAGGTGCAAAATTTTAAAAATAATTTCCACATCTTAAAACTGATTTCATTTTCAGAATCAGCATCTCAAAATAAGCAGAAAGCTCTCAAGAACCTGATTCGATGCGAAATTATGTAAATTTTAGCAGTTTTATTATTTAATAGATCGTCAATGGTGAAGTTGTGTTTCAAGATCACTCGGTGCATTGCACACATCTGAAATCAAGTCAAAGCTTCTACTTCTAAACACAACACGGTACAGTATGACCACCTTTTCTACAGACACTGTTCAGCTATTTGTCAGAATGTACAGGGGAGGGAGTGGCTCTCGTGATCTAGAGGTACAGTGTTTGCCCTTCAATCATTCATTAGTTCCCGGGCTCGAAACCTTCACATAGAGTGTAGGCAAATCGCTGTCATCGCAAAGAGACAAGGTGGCTTTATTAAGAGGAATCTCCTCGATCGAAAGAAAACAGGCGACATATTGGAATGTGTAAACAGACAACACAGTTCGATAAAATGGATAATTCTAGCATACCACGAATCTGATACAATTTATTGTTGAGGGTAACCGAGGCTTTTTTAAGTGTAAAGCACCATCCAAAAGGCTGGGGTCAACATATGATGAAAACTGAGACTGTAAACATATTGTGAGGCAGCGTGATGAAATCAGGCGCTCGTCAAAATATTGAAAGTAAAAAAACTGGCATTTTTCCGCAGGTTTCGAAATTTTTATCGGATTTCGTTTGTTGGCTCAACACCTTTCATGACCATTAAAGAACACATTTCTGGTGTAATTTACATCTAGACTGGCAGTCTAGCCGTACTTAGATCTAGGTTTGGCCCTATTGACTCAAGCCTGTTAAGTACACAGGTCTCATTAGTTAGATCTAGTAATTATTCAGGTTCAAATACATGCAAGTCAGTAAGCTGTCTACCCATACTTAAGTACGGCCAGTCTAGCCGTACTTATCTTAGGCCCTATTAACATAAGAAAACAGGAGGTTTAAAATATACATGCACTGTCATTAAGGCTAAGGCACCTGGTTTTGTCTCAAATACAAATACTTTAGGTACTGCAAACTAAAAATTTATATTTACAATTCTGTAGGCCTATTTTTTTTAATGGTCAGTCTAGCCATCATATTAATAATAAATACGGCTAGCCCAGCTGTCTAGCCGTACTTAAAGTACTGCTAGACTGCCAGTCTAGCCGTCATTAAGTACAGCTAGCCTCTTCCATCTATGATTTAGGAAGTGGCTATTCTCATCCGGGGTGAGAATAGAAAAACGATCTACCTCTCACCCCGGGTGAAAATTGCCAGCGTAGGCTATTCTCACCCGGTGCGAAACAAGAACTGCTTTTCCTCATTTTGGAATACTGTCTATCGGTGTGGATGATCCAATTGATAAAAGCCAAGAAAAAATTACGTTATAGCACAAAAGTAAGCTAATTTGATCGTCTTCAAAGATGCTATGGCTATTTCACTGTTCGAATCGAGCCGAACTACGTGGGTCGCCATTTTTTTTTGCCCGGAAGTTCTCGCAAGATCTACTCCTCCCTTATCTCTCTCTCTCTGTCTCTTTCTGAATACTGTCTATCGGTGTGGACGATCAAATTGACCAAAACAAAGTTAAAAAATGATGTTAAAACACAAAAGTAAATTAATTTGGTTGTCTACAAAGATGCTACAGCTATTTAACTTTTCGAATCGAGCCGAACTACGCGGGTCGCCATTTTGTTTTGACCGGAAGTTCTCGCGCTACTCGCGTGAGAATAGCCACTTTCATACGCCCTTAGGCAAAGCCTTAGGCTTAGGCTAATGCAAACAAATGACATTGGTCTCACTAACATAACATTAAGCAGGAACAGCAGACCCACCTGCTGATAGGGATGTCTTTAAATTCAACAACAGAACGTCAAAACGCTTAAGTACACTCAGTATCACTAACAACACACACTGACAGGACAGGGGTGTCATTTTCAAGTTCCGACATGCCAACAAATTCGGCTACAACTAAAATCTACAACAATAGAAACCAAATACCAATATTAATGATGGTCTACTAACTTGTTGGCAAGTGTTATGTCACATCAAACTGGAAAATATCTTCTATCTTTCTTTCGATGTAAAAGCAAGAAAGTTAATGCTACATCGAAATCTGTGGTTTTGTGTAAATATTTTGTTGACAATCATATCCGGAAGTGCACAAAACGGCAGCCATTGTGGCGTCCCTCGCAGCCAAGGGTAACGCTTTCATTTCAAATTTGAAAAATACCAGTAATGCTTAATCAGATCGATGAAAAAATAATACTGGCCGCTACCTATTGGCCTTAATTCTACTATGTTTCCTGCAAAAATAAAATAGCCCATACTCACTTTCGTTTTACTGCTTCATGGTGGAAAGAATACTCCCTGACTAAACCCAACCAAACGTAAGAAGTAAGAAGGGAAATAACTGTGGGAACTGAAAGAAAATATTATTACACTACAAAAATATGAAGAAAGTAAAAGAAACAAAACCATAATAATTTATATAATATTTTCTGAAGTAGCCTATGGAATCCTTTTTAACTTTGGTTCAAAATTCTTGAACTAATCTAGATCTAGATCTAGATATCAACTCCATGGACAGTAGTTACTTGCATCATTTTTAAACAATGTTAGTATTGTTGTTTCTCTCGCTTTTTTACACAGTAGATAGTAGATCTAGATCTAGAATCTAGTATTAAAACTATTCGTTTCAGTTGTTGTGTTGTTAATTTTTGTTGGGGGGGGGGGG